AACAGTTACTATTATTACCATTACTTTGTTTACGGACGTCACAAGTGTACTTTGAGAAAGAGGTGATTTTAAGGTATTTTTTTTCAAGTGTGAATTTTTTTTATTGTAAAATTCGACCCTATTGCCTTGGCGGAGGTATGCGCACTCGAGTGCTTCTAGTTAAAGTATTTTTTTCGGTTTAATAATTATTACAAGAATCTTAAACCAAGTGACCCAACCTGCCCTCTTGCAGACACCGTCGTGGAGATCGGCAGCACGGGCGGCCTCTCGTGCTACGGCGTGGGCGTGCCAGAGCCCAGCATCACCTGGAGGCGAGAGGACGGCGCCCCCCTTCCTCCTCACGTCACCCACGACCGCGACGGGAACCTCCGAGTGCAAGGTCAGACGAGGTCATTGTGGGTTGTTTGATGGGAACCTCAGAGTGCAAGGTCAGACGAGGTCATTGTGGGTTGTTTGATGGGAACCTCCGAGTAAGTAAGATTTCTGCTGATGTCTATAAGACGACTGTGTTTCCAGGAACCATACGTAATCATATATATATATATATATATATATATATATATATATATATATATATATTATATATATATATATTATATATCTTTAAATACAAAAAAAAAAATCGACTCACTAACCATACGCAATAATAAATATATATATACCTTTTAAATGCAATAAAAAATCTACTCAGAAAAAAAAGATATAAGATATAAGTAGGAGAACCTTGTTCAGTCACAAAGGATTTTCATCAATGATTTCTGGTCATGTTTGGTGTTCTAAATATAAAGAAAAAACAAAAAAGCAAAATAATGCATTAGATCATTCATCAATGATTTCTGATGACGTTAGTGTTTATAAGTTTCCAGCTTTCCAGAAATCATAAATGCTATTCTGAATATAAAAAAACAAGAAAAAAAATAAGATATTACTAAAGAGCAAGACAGCCTTGTATAATCATATATGACTTTCATAAATAATTTCTGATGACGTTTGCAGTTTATAAGACGACAGCCTTTTCAATATCTTTCTAATACAAGAAAAAAACAATCGACAATAAAAAAAATGAAATAGTACCTAACAGCAAACCATCCTTGTATAACCACAAAAGACATCCATTAATGATTTCTGAAGACGTTTTGTGTTTTATATGAAATAGTACCTAACAGCAAATCATCCTTGTATAATCACAAAGACATCCATTAATGATTTCTGAAGACCTTTGGTGTTTTATATGAAATAGTACCTAACAGCAAACCATCCTTGTATAATCACAAAAGACATCCATTAATAATTTCCGAAGACGTTTGGTGTTTTATCTAAGACTTCTTCGTTTCCAGGGATGAAAGTGGAGGACGAAGGCACCTACCTCTGCACGCTGGAAAACCTTTACGATTCGGTCACTCTTCGGGCCACCATCTCGGTCTCTGGTCTCCGTGAGTGTTGTGTGCTGAGGATGTTCGTCTTAGGATTTCGTGCTGTCTTTATGTCTTTTTTTATCTAGGTGTCTGTTTGTCTGTCTGGGTGTTGTGGTTTAATCCTTTATTTAGGAGTCTGTTTGTCTGTCTGTGTGGTATGGTTTAATCCTCTATCTGTCTTTCTGTCTGTCTGTCTATACTGTCTGTCTGTCTGTCTGTCTGTCTCTCTCTCTCTCTCTGTCTCTGTCTCTGTCTCTGTCTCTGTCTCTGTCTCTGTCTCTGTCTCTGTCTCTGTCTCTGTCTCTCTCTTTCTCTCTCTTTCTCTCTCTGTCTCTGTCTCTCTCTCTCTCTCTTTCTCTTTCTCTCTCTTCTCTCTCTCTCTGTCTCTCTCTGTCTCTGTCTCTGTCTCTGTCTCTGTCTCTGTCTCTTTTTCTCTCTTTCCCTGTTATTATCATTATCATTATTCTCATCAATATTATTAATATCCCTAATATAATCAATTATTCCTTATCCAGCCTTCACTAATTAATCACCATAAACCAGTAAGACATAAACTCCTATAAACATATAGCTATATACATATTTGAATATCTATCTATGCTTATATCTAAATATCTATCTATATTTGCATCTGAATATCTAGCTATATTTATATCTCAATATGTATCTATGGTTATTTCTAAATATCTATCTTATTTGTGTCTGGATATATGTTTATATGCATATCTGAATGTCTATCTTTATTCAAATCTAAATATTTATCTATATTCATATGTAGATATCTAACTATATTTATATCGAAATATCTATCTATATCTAAATATCATTTATATTTATATCTAAATATCTATTATATTTAAAATAGCTATCTATATGTATATCTAAATATCTGTCTATATTTGTATCTAAATATCTCGGCATTTATATCTAAATATCTATCAATATTTATATCTAAAAATCCATCTATATCTATATCTAAATACCTATCTATACCTACATCTAAATATCCATCTATATCTATATCTAAATACCATATATTATTCATATCTGAATATCCATCTATATCTATATCTAAATACCTATCTATATCCATATCTAAATATCCATCTATATCTATATCTAAATATCCATCAATAATATCTTAACCCCCCCCCCCCAGTGGCCCCCCTCATCGCGGCGCCCCCGGACCCCAATCTGAAGGCTACTCTGGACGCCCCTGTCACGCTGCCATGCACTGTCATCATGGCCAACCCTGCGCCTGATCTCGTGTGGCTGCATGACGGCGTGCCTGTCAGGTCGAGCAAAGGTATGGAGAGGTGTTTGAGTTTTTTTTGTTATTGTCGTTGTTGTCTTTGTTTATTTTTTATTTTTTTAAGTTTTGTTGTTATTTGTGTTTATTTTTTTCAGTGGATGGGGGGGGGTTATTTTTTTATTTTGATTTGGGGGAGGGGGCAGGTGGGGTGTTGGTTTGTTTGTGAATGAGATATGCTGTTTTTTAACGTTGATTTTTTTATGAGATTCAGTTGTAAAACATACTGATATTCGATCTTGTCATTTGATTTAGATTAGATCTATGTTATTTTAAGATCTGTTTGTAAACAAGGTTATTCCTTTTCTTTTACTGATTTCAAACCTGACTTTTTATTCTTATGCCAGCTTGAATTGTCTATACAATTTTTTCAGGAGTTATTTTGTTTTTAGTCAGATATAAAACTAAATTGATGCTTTGAGTATGTAAACTTTATCTTTTTAGAGTCAGTTAAAAAGGTAGATTAATATTAATAACTATTCTAAACTAGTTCCAATCTCTTTTAGTTAATCTCTAAAACAATAGTGACCTTTTCATTTTATTTCAAAATACCTTCAGATTTCTGCAATGAATGGCTGCTTCATCTTTAGTTATGTTATGATTTATTTTGCTTCTTTAAACTTGTTTGACATTTTGAGTATTTTCATATCAAACCTCTCGCAATTTTCTTAAAACTAGTTTGATATAAGCCCATTGTTAAAAGAACTAAAATCGAAATAATTATGATAACGATTCCCTACCACAAACCACACCTACCCACAAAACAGGTACCCACAACACCACCCACAACAACCTGAACACAAAACCACTTACCATCTATTTTGCATCCCACCTCACTTCACCCCACCCCACCCACCCCCCACCCGACCCCACCCCACCCCACCCGACCCCACCCCACCCCACCCCACCCCACCCCAGCCCACCCACAACACCCACCCACAACAACCTGAACACAAAACCCACTTACCATCTATTTTACACCCCAACCCCACCCCCACCCCCACCATCCCCCCTCCCCCCTCCCCCCTTCCCCCCTCCTGGCACCCAGAATGAGTCACCCTCGATATGCCACACTTCCAGGGATGGTCGTCAAGAGCGATGGCACTCTGAGCATCTTCTCCGTGTCTGTGAAGCACGAGGGAGAGTACCAGTGCGTGGCTACCAACGTGGCCGGGAACTCTTCGCAGACACTCAACCTCAAAGTGCTAGGTACGGTTGGTTTGGCCTTGAAGGATGTGGGTATGTGGATGCGGGTGTGGATATTGGATTGGATGTGGATGTTAGGATGCGGATGTGGAATATAAGGATTCACGTGTGGTATTTGGATGCGATGCGGATGTTGATGTTAGGATGCCGGATGTGATATGATAGAGCGGATGTTGATGTAAGGATGCGTATTGTAGATGAGCTTTTGTAGTGGTTGTGGGGATAGTGTGGATATTAGGTGAGAGAGAGAGAGAGAGAGAGAGAGAGAGAGAGAGAGAGAGAGAGAGAGAGACAGACAGACAGACAGACAGACAGACAGACAGACAGACAGACAGACAGACAGAGATAGACAAACATAGACAGACAGACATAGACAGACAAACATAGACAGACAAATAGAGACAGACAAGACAGACATATAGACAGACAAAATATAGACAGACAGACAGTACTAGACAGACAAATACAGACAAATATAGACAGGACAGACAAATACAGACAAATATAGACAGACAGTCATAGACAGACAGACAGACGACATAGACAGGCAGAAAAGACAAACAGACAGTCAGACAGACAGAGCCGGATACAGACACAGATAGATCGAACAAGAAAAAGAGATACATACACCCATCAACCTTTCCGACAACAGTTCCCCCTCGAGCGAAGTCCAGACGAGTGGAGGACAACGTGGAGGCCTTGGAGGGCGACGTGGTCAAGCTCAAGTGCCCCGTCAAGGCTGACCCTCGACCCAACTTCATCTGGCACAAGAACGGGCAGCCGATTTCACGTACTTCTCCGAGGTCAGAAAATTGTTTTGGATTAGGAGTCAGTGTGGTGGAATTTGTGTTTATTTTTTGGTATTTTTTATTATTTTATGTAATGTGTTTCAAACGCATTCTTTTTATTTTGTTTTTGATTTATGATTCTTAAAGAAATCTTTATTTCGTTTACATTTTTTGTTAATTTTTGTTTTCTATATTTCTAGATTTAACTCTTATCATGATTTTATACATTTTTTTATTCAAAATAGATAAAAAAACTAGAATAAAAAAAAACACGGAAATGAATAAAGAAAAAACAAAATCCAAAACAAAAACCCCCTTCATCTCACCCAGAATGCGTGTCCTGCAAGACGGCATCCTCGTTATCCGACAGCTGCTCGCCGAAGACGCTGGGACCTACGTGTGCACGGCGATCAACGCTGCGGGAGCCACCAAGATCGCCGTCGTTTTGGACGTTCATGGTGGGTGACGGGGAGAGGAAGGGGGAGGGGAAAGGGGAGGAGGAGGAGGGAACGAGGAGAAGGGGGAGTGGGAAAGGGAGAGGGAGGGCGAGGAGGGGAGCCACCAAGATCGCCGTCGTTTTTTGGACGTTCATGGGTGGGTGGCGGGGAAGAGGAGAGGAGGAGGAGAAGGGAGGAGGAGGAGAAGGAGGAAGGGGGAGGAGAAGGGGAAGGACGGGGAGGAGGAGGGAAGCCACCAAGATCACGCCGTCGTTTTGGACGTTCATTGGTGTGGGCGGGGAGGAGGAGGAGGGGGAGGAAGGAGAGGAGAAGGGGAGGAGGAAGGGGAGGTAGGAGGAGGGGAAGGAAGGAGGAGGAGGAGGAGAGGGAGCCACCAAGATCGCCGTCGTTTTGGACGTTCATGGTGGGTGGCGGAGGGGAGCGAGGGGGAGGGGGAGGAGGAGGAGGAGAGGAGGGAGTAGCGGGAAGGGGAAGGGGAAGGAGGAGGGGGGAGGGGAAAGGGGAAGGGGAAGGAGGAAGGAGGGGAAGGGGGGAAGGGGGAGGGGGAGGAGAGGGAGAAGGAGGGGGAGGAGGGGAGCCACCAAGATCGCCGTCGTTTTGGACGTTCATGGTGGGTGACGACGAGGAGGAGGAGGAGGAGGAGGAGGAGGAGAGGGAGGGAGGAAGAGGAGAAGGAGGAGGAAGGGGAAGGGGGAAGGGGAGGGGGAAGGGGAGGGGAAGGGGAGGAGGAGGAGGAGGAGGAGGAGGAGAAGGGGAAGAGGAGGGGAAGGGGGAGGGGGAGGAGGAGGAGGAGGAGGTGGGAGGGGAGGAGGGGGAGGGGCGGAGGGGGAGGGGAGCTACCAAGATCGCCGCTCGTTTTGGCGTTCATGGTGGGTGGCGAGGAAGGAGGGGAGGGAGAGGAGGGGAGTAAGGAAGGGGAGGAGGAAGGAGGGGGAAGAGGGTTAGGAGGAGGGAAGGGGAAGGAGGCAGGCGGGAGAAAGGAAGGGGAGAAGGAGGGGGAGGAGCGGGAGCACCAGATCGCCGTCGTTTTGGACGTTCATAGTTGGGCTGGCGGGGAGGAGGAGGGAAGGGGAGGAAGGGAAGGAGAGGCGAAGGCGGGAGGAAGAGGAGGGGGGAGCGGGAAGGGGGAGGTGAGGAGGAAGGGAGGGAGGGAGGAAGAGGAGGGATGAGGGAGGAAGAGGAGGTGGAAGAGGAAGAGAGGAGAAGAGGAGGAAGGAAGAACGCAGGACAGCTCGCCGACGTCTGGCCAGCCACAAAACTTTCTGAATGACCCTCTTCTTGCTCGGGATCTAGTGTGGACTTAGCTTTAGAAAACAAAATCTCACGTCACAGCAAAGAATATCCATTCGTAAGAAATGAATTAAAAACTCAAATCTAATCTGAAATCTAATTCTGGAATCTTCTTAATCTAATTGAAATCTTCTGAATCTTCTTAATCTATCTGAATCTTCTTTAAATCTGAATCTTCTTAATCTAATCTGAATCTTTTAATCTAAATCTGAATTATAGAAAACTTACTTAAACATCAAAATCTAAATATATCATTATTCTAATCTGAAATCTCTATAATCGTAATCTGAATCTATGCTGTAAAACCACTCTAATCTGATCGTTCTTCATCTAAAATCTGAAATCTTCTTCATCTAATCTGAATCTTCTTAACAACCTAAAATCCGAATCTTCCCCAGTCTTCTCGGCCCACCATCGAGGAGGGACTCACCTCGTACACAGTGGGCGAGGGTGAAGTGGTCGAGATCGAGGATGCGTGGCTCGGGGGCGCACGCTCCTCCCCATCCATTCAACGTGAGGGATGCGACAGGACCAGACCCTCCTGCTGGACCAGACGATGCCTGATCGCAGTACAGACCTGAGGTAGTTGTGTGGTACTTTTTTTTGGTATTACTGTGGCCTGGGTGGTATTGGTGTTTTTGTTATGGTAGTGGAAATGATGGTTTGTTGGTGTTTTGTATTTGTTTAGTGGAAGTATTTTTATTGGAGGTCGATTCTGAGATCAGTTTTATTTTGAGAATTTTGTCATGAATACTGCACATTAGAAACAACTGTCATATATATTGTCAGTCACAAAATGTACGATCATTTATGCGATATGTTCCTAACAAAAGATTTAATACAGATTCATGCCATCAATAAACGATACTAACTACCATCGATACACCTATACAATTCCATAAACAAATATCATGCGGATGACAGTATTACCAAATTATTAAATAATAAAATCTGAACATTGTCATGCAGATGTGTCAATAATACTATCATAATTACTATACATTTATACCCACACAAAAGCGCCATGCAATTATTAGTCCCTGATATGCTTTACAGTTCCCATACCAAATACCAAAGCGTCATGCAGATCATAGCCAGTGATACGATCATTAATACTATATGATTCACATACCAAAACGTCATGCAGATATAAGTCAGTGATACCATCACTAATGTTACACAATACCCACACCAAAAGTCATGCAAATAACAGTCAATGGTACCATTACTAATGGTAATGCAATTTCCATTCTAAAATTTCTTGATACCATCACTAAGGCTACACAATACCCATACCAAAACGGGAAGCAGATGTTAATCAATGAAACCATCTCTAATACAGTGCAATTCCCATACCAAAAGATCATGCAGATATTAGTCAGTGATACCACAATTTATGCCATACAATCCCACACCAAAAATCATGCAGATAATAACCAATAATAACCCCATTAGTCTATACAATCCCCAAACTATATAAGTCTATTATGCAGATAATAATCTATCATAACGCCATTAAAAGTCATGCAAGTATTAGTCAATGATACCATCACGAATAGAATACATTACCTTTACCAAAACGTCATGCAGATACTAGTCAATGATACCACCACTAATACAATACCAAAACGTCATGCAGGATGGTAGCAACGATGGAGAGCGAAGGACGGTATGACTGCATGGTGACCAACGCTGCAGGCTCGGCACACAAAACCGTCGTCGTTCTCATTAGTAGTAAGTTTTGATGTGTAGATAGACGTCTGGTTTGCCAAAATTTTGTGCGAGTACGACCCTCGGAATGTTCATTTTACGGTACGTGTATATTTACGGAAATAAATGCAGATCTATTAGTCTAGACATGCATATATACAGGATAGATAAATAATTGTATATCATATCAGTGTAGACTATCGCGTTCAGTGCATGTCTACTCGATAGATAGATAGATAAATGCATGTTTATTAGTCTATACATGCATATATATACTGGATAGATTGAGAGATGAATATATATCTTATCTAGACATGCATATCTATAGGGTAGATAGGTAGATAAATGCATATCTATCAGTCTAGACATGCATATCTACTGGACAGATAGATAAATGTATATCTATCAGATAGAGCGACAGATATGTATTCATTTCTTTGTATATGCATGTCCACATGTATGAATATTCATTGGAATGGGTTTCGCAGAATTTCAACAAATTGGACTTATAAGTAAGAACTCTGTGTCGTACGTTTTCTAAGTCACGAATCGTTTTTCACGGGCTGATTCTAAGGAAAAGGTTTTGTTGTGTTATATATAACACATATAAAAAATATATATAAATGAAAAGTTATATAATTGAAAAATTAGTAAAAACGATAAATGAAAAATTAATGAAAATGCATATAAACATAGATACAAAAAAATCTTTCTGACAATTCACCCTCACCCAACAGAACCTCCCGAGATTTCCCCGCCCGGAGACGAAACCCTGGCGGTGTCAGCAGGTCAAGATCTCAAGCTGCCGTGCGAGGTCAAGGGTCATCCCGAACCCGAAGTGTCCTGGAGGCGAAATGGGCTGGTGCTGGCTGAGGATGAGAGGCTGGTGTATGTGCGGGAACTCTTGTTGTGAAATTGGGATTATATCGTGATTATACACACGAATGTCCATTAGTTAGTCGAAATTGGGATCCATTAGGCATTGATATTCCCTCAGGTATCCATAATAACCCATAGATAATCCATAAGTATGCATTAGACAGGGGTTTGGTCTGTCTCATCTAGCAAGCCCTCTGGTGAGGGGCGAGCGTTCTCTGTCTCTGTCTGTCTCGACTCTCTGGTGGTGGTGGCGGTGCAGAATTCAGGGATAATTCTATCTCCTTTTCGGCTGTTTATTGATAACTGACAACTATAAAATTTCATGCAAGAATGAGTAACTCTCAGTGGATATACCATAACTTCTTTTTCGTGCTGAAACCCAGTGAAAGACATAAAAAGTGCATTTGTAAAAACTGAACCGGCGAACTTCTGCCGAACCATAAGGGTCAAGTTGCCTTGGCATCTGGGACGTACAGGTGAGAAGTGGCCTAACAGCGGTTTAAAACATCAAGTGTTGAATGTGTGAATTATTTATGGATACTGCACCCGAAATCTAATGAAATCAGCCATTAAGCTGCAGTTTTAATAAAAACTGATGCATGACGTCACATATTCGTCCGTGAAATAGTCGTCACTTACTTAAACCCACCCCACCCTCCCCGAGTCAGAGAGGAACCCCGTTATTTTGAACCACTCTGTTGATAGATATAATTATTTTGAAATTATGGTAAGCGGCATTTGTACAAAATGCGGCATCTACAAAAAGTCCGGGATCGAAAATGATGTTTGTCGATTATGCCGAAATAGAGGCGAAGATAGCGAAGAAAAGAGAGTTAATGGAGACACCAACGATCCTGAACAAGCTCACTCCCATCAAGCTCCCCCCCCTGTACCCCAGACCCTCCCCCCCCTCCTGTGATACCCTGCCCCTCCTTGTCCCTACTCAGGCGGTACCTCTGCCCCTCCGTGCCCCTGCCCTGGTGCTACCCCTGCCCCTGCTGGTCCCAATGCAGAGATTCTCCTGACGCGTCTAAAAGAGATGAAAATTAGCAACGCGGAAGGGAGACTGGACGCTAGGGCAGTGAATGACATGTTCATCGACTTCATGGCGTCGTTCATAGAAATAAGGGCTGACATGGCGGATGTTCGTGAACGAGTGACAGCGCTGGAGGAGGGGGTGGGCCGCCTGGAGGAGAGGTTCCCTGCGGAGGAGGTCGTCACCGAACTCGGCATCTGCGCCAGCAACCTCCCTCGCGACCCACACAAGCCCGACGGGATGCCGGCCGGAGAACTCGTCGCCGCCCTCGACGTCGGCCTTTCCCACCGGAACGTCGGGAAGACGCAACGCATCGCCGAAAGGCTTAGTGAAGATGGATCCGTCAAGTTCCACGGGAAATTGGTGATCGAACTGGACAATATAGCTAATAAAATGTCTTGGAAGAGAAGCGAAAGAAAATCTAAAGATAATCTAGGCCATTTTTGCATTTCCGAAGGACATCAAGAAATCCTTAGGGCATCAAAGCAATTGTGTAAAAACATGCATAAATGCTCTAAAATGTGCAGTTTCGCTGGCATCTTGTGCATGAGGAAGAATCCGTGTGCAGCGTTGTCTTTTGCAAAACACACTGGTCTGCCCGCCGCACACCTCTACGTACTGTGTGGATTCTATCCGCACGCACTGTGCTGATGGCCGATGCCGCGGGTACTGGCCGCACGCCGACAGTCCGATCAGCACACGGAATCTTCATCATGCACAAGATGCCAGCTAAACTGCACATTTTAGAGCATTTATTAATGTTTTTACACAATTGCTTTGAAGCGCCAAGGGTTTCTTGGTGCCCTTCAGAAATGCAGATTGCCTAGATTACCTTGATTTTGCTGAAATTTCAAAGCTAAAACTGCAGGGCTTTTTTAACTTGGAGTTCCTGCCTTTAGAGAGAGAGAGAGAGAGAGAGACAGACACAGACAGAGATGCATAAACTGACAGACATATATTCTGGCAGAGAAACAGGTAAATACAGTACGGCGGCAGTGAGCTGTTAGGGTCACGGCAATTCGTTGTCATGAAGATCCTCATGATTTTAGAACATTGTGGCAATTTGAAAGGGCACAGCGGCAGCTGTCGTTTCCGTAGTGATGTTCCTGCCCTGTCTCTATGTACATATACTCGTACATACACAAATACACACATTCTTCACACCTACATTAACCTGTGTGTACATTTCTTCTCAGCCCTGCCCCTGGTTACCTGTTGATGAGTGCCGTCACCCCTGACCTCGCCGGGAACTACACCTGCAGTGCCATCAACCAGGCCGGAAATGCGCACAAAACCTTCGTCATAACAGTTAATTGTGAGTGAGAGTGTTGCGTTATGTCGGAAGATTTACGTGACCCTGTAACTCCATCAAATTGCTGAGAATTAGTATGTTGTGTTTTTGCAGGTTTTTACTATTCCTCACAGGCTTAGAAGGAGTGGTTGTGCTATCCAAATTCTTCTGGTTTTTCATGATTCGCTAATCTCGTGATCCTGAATCCTGCAAGTCATTCAGAATGCGTTATATCGTGATCTCAAATCCTTAATATTATCCATGATTCGCCAATCTCGTAATCCCGAATCTTTCAAATCATTCAGAACTCGTTATCTCGCAGTACCGAATCCTTCTGTTTATTTATGAATTATTATCTCGTTTAATCCCGATTCCTTCAAATCATTCATTATTTCTTATCACGTTATCCTAAATCCTTCAAATGAATATGGATTCGTTATCTCGTTTAATCCCGAATCTTTGAAATCATTCAGGTATCATTATCTCGCTATCCTATATCCTTCCAGTCATTTAGGATTCGTTATCCCGCAATCTCCTTCAAATTACTCATGTTTCGTTATCTACATAATCCAAAATCCTTCTTATATTAGATTCGTTATCTAGTTATCCCGAATCCTTCAAATTACTCATGATTCATTATCTCCGAATCCCTAATCCTTCTTATTCAGGATTCAGGATCTCGAAATCCTAAATCCTACACATAATCCATGCTTCGTTATCTCGTTATCCCGAATCCATCGAATTTCTCATGATTCGTTATCTCCTAATCCTGAGTCCTTCTTATTCGTGATTGGTTATTTCGTAACCCGAATCCTTCAAATTATTCATGATTCGTTATCTCATAATCCCAAATCCATATTCGTAATTGGTTATTTCGTAATCCTAAATCCTTCAAATTACTCACGATTCCTTATCTCCGAATCCCAAATCCTTCTTATTCAGGAATCGCCATCTCCTAATCCCGAATCCTTCAAATAACCCATGTTTCGTTATCTCGTTATCCCGAATCCTTCAAATTTCTCATGATTCATTATCTCCTAATTCCTAATCCTTGATATTCATGATTCATTAACTCACCTTCCCGAATCCTTCAAATAACCCATGCTACGTTATCCCCTAACCCCGAATCCTTCTTATCCATGTCCCGATCCTTCAAAATTTTCATGTATCATAATCTCCTAACCCCGAATCCTTCTTATCCATACCTCGTCATCTCCCAACCCCGAATCCTCCTTATCCATGCCCCGTTATCTCCCAACCCCGGAATCCTTCTTATCCATTCTTCGTCATCTCCCAACCCCGAATCCTTCTTATCCACGCTCCGCCATCTCCCAACCCGAATCCTAACAAGAGAACTAACAGAAATGGAACCAAAAAAAATCCCCCCCCCCACAGATCCCCCTCAAGTGGAGACAGTGGAGGAGACGTGGCCCGAGAGAAGCGTGGTGGAAGGGGGGCGCCTGTCCCTGCCGTGTCCTGCGCTGGCCAATCCTACTCCGACACGCGACTGGACGAAGGATGGCGTTCGACTCCTGCCTGAAGAAGGTGGGCGTGGTCTGGGTTGAAGAGAGGGTTATTTTTAGAGGATATTTGCGATTGGTTAGCTCTGTTTATAAGGCTGTGATTAAGTAATTCTGTGTTGAACTAATTTTGTATTTAAGTTCCCTGTATTGAGAGTGTTATTTTTAAAGGATATTTGAGATTGATTAGCTCTGTTTATAACTAAGGCTGTGATTAAGTAACTCTGTGTTGAACTAATTTTGTTATTTAGTTCCCTTTATTAAACTATTTGTTTTTAATTACTCTATATTTAACTAATTATATGTTGATTGTTCTGTGTTCAACTACTACTAATTCTGTATTTAACTACTTTATATTTAACTAATTCTGCCTTTAAATATTTTGTATTCAATTGTTTATATTATATTCAACTAACTTTATACTTCACTAATTCTGTATATACCTAATTCTATATTTAACTATTCTGCATTTAATTGATTATATTATATCCGATCAACTTAATACTTAACTATTTCTGTTTCTAAATATCCTGTATTTAATCGATTATATTACATTCAACTAAGTGATAATGGACTAATTCTTTATTTAGCTATTTATTTGATTATGTTATATTAAACTAACTTGGTATCTTAACTAACGTTATATCAACTAGCTGTATCTAACTCTGCATCTATCTAACTCGACGTTTAAGTAACTATATTGAACTATCTCGGTAGTTAACAATGAATTGAGTAAATATTATCAAGAAACTAATTGTTTTTTAACTAGCTTTGCATTTATCTGACCCTACTCTTAAGCAATCCAGCATTTCCGTAAACATGCAACGAAGGAACCACCTAACTACCTCTGTCTTCAAACCACCTCAATTTCCCATCGCGTTCAAGTGATTAACAAACCACTCCAAACTCTAATACCAAGGATCAACACCCCTCCCCCACCCCCACACCCACCCACTTCCTCCAATGTCAAATCAGTTAGAATTCTCACCGAAATCAGTCAGAATTCTCACCGAAATCAGTCAGAATTCTTCATCAGTCAGAGTCAGAATTCTCACCGAAATCAGTTAGAATTCGCAGTTTCTCACACCGCGTTGTCTCCCTTACAGGACTGGAGATTTTGGAAAGTGGAACCGTCGAAGTCTCACGTGCAGAACCCAAGCACTCGGGTAGTTACCGATGCACGCTCACCAACTTTCTCGGGCAGGCTCACATTGACTACGACGTGAAGGTCCTCAGTAAGTGTTAAAAGGGACGGAAGTATAAGTTTGTGAGTAGTGTAAGTATATGTAATGGGTGTAAGTATTAAGTAAACGTAAGTAATAGGTAAGTATATGTAATAAGTAAGTAGCTGTAAGTAATTAGTAAGTACAAGTAATAAGTAGGTATAAGGAATAAAAATGTATAAGTAATAAGTATACGTAATATGTAAGTAGCTATAAGTAGTAGGAATAAGTAACTATAAGTAACTATAAGTAATAAGTAAGTAACTATAAGTAATAAGTAAGTTTAAGTAATAAGTATAGGGTTTAGGAAGAGTAAATTACGCTTTCAAAATCTTACTGTAGATTTCAAGGGAAAAAAGGGCAATGCATTCTGCTAAACATTACAACTCTGGATTAGAGATTGATAACCAAATAAACACCAGCCCGTTCCTTCTATATCGATTAACAACTCACCACAACTTTCCTTCCTCATTCCTTTACTCAAAGCAAAGAGACAAACAAACAAACAAACAAAAACGAAATGAATGCACAAGAAACATTACTTAACCCTTTATTCCCCAGTCCCGCCCAGGGTGACCCAGCGGCACCGGCCAAGCGCCCCTATTGTCGTGGAGGGAGAAGATGTCGTCATCAACTGCCCGGTAGACGCAGTGCCCATTCCGACGATCACGTGGTTGAAGGTATGTCACGTGACTTTCCTTTGTTTACGTTCGGGATGACGGAGCGAATGCAGTTTTTTTTATTTATTTATTTATTTATTTTATAGAACTGTGTCGTGATGAATGGGATATTTTGAGATGGATTATGTAAGTTCATTTTATATAATTTTATTATTATGATTATTTTTATTGTCGTTGATATTGCTGGTCATCATTCACACTGACATAGGTCGATCTTTCTCCCATTAATAACAAAGCCTTTTAGATTTATGGCTACACGACACTGTCATAAGCCGATCGTTCTCCAATTAACTAGAAATCCCCCTTATTTTTTTAGCCATAAGCCTGCCTCCCATTGTCTTACCGATACAGTGCCATAAGCCGATCCTTATTTTACGTAACTAACGAACTCCTTACTCCACTGGCCACTCGACATACTGCCAGAAGCTGTCATAACGATCCTTCTCTTCGTAACTAACAAACTTCTGACTCGACCGGCCACTCGACATACTGCCATAAGGCGATCCTTCTCTTCGTAACTAACAAACTCCTTACTCGACTGGCCACTCGACGCTGTCATAAGGCGATCTTTCTCTTCGTAACAAACAAACTTCTGACTCGACTGGCCACTGGAAGCTGTCATAAGGCGATCTTTCTCTTCGTAACTAACAAACTCCTCACTCGACCGGCCACTCGACATACTGCCATAAGGCGATCTTTCTCTTCGTAACAAACAAACTCCTTACTCGACCGGCCACTCGACGCTGTCATAAGGCGATCTTTCTCTTCGTAACAAACAAAATCCTTACTCGACTGGCCATTCGACACTGTCATAAGGCGATCCTTCTCTTCGTAACAAACAAACTCCTGACTCGACCGGCCACTCGACACTGTCACAAGGCATCTTTCTCTTCGTAACTAACAAACTCCTTACTCGACCGGCCACTCGACACTGCCATAAGCCGATCTTTCTCTTCGTAAGTAACAAACTCCTCACTCGACTGGCCACTCGACGCTTTCAAAAGGCGATCTTTTCTTCGTAACAAACAAACTCCTTTCCACTGGCCACTCGAAGCTGTCATAAGGCGATCTTTCTCTTCGTAACAAACAAAATCTTACTCGACTGGCCACTCGTCGCCATAAAAAACAAACTCCTTACTCCACTGGCCACTCGACGCTGTCATAAGGCGATCTTTCTCTTCGTAACAAACAAACTCCTCACTCGACCGGCCACTCGACGCTGTCACAAGGCGATCTTTCTCCCCCGCAGGACGGCGTGTCCATCTTCTCGACGAAGGACCGCGCCGACATGACCCACATCGTCGTCGAGAACAATGGCCAGACACTCTACATCCTCGAGGCGACTGTGGACGATAAAGGTATGAATTTTTGAGGCTGTTTTTCTCCCCTTTTCCTTTCTTTTATATCATTTGGTTATTGAGGTCGATAAAGGTATGAATTTTATGGCTGTTTTTCCCTTTTCCTTTCTTTATATCATTTGGTTATTGAGGTCGATAAAGGTATGATTTTTGAGGCTGTTTTTTCCTTTTCCTTTTTTTTATATCATTTTGGTTATTGAGGTCGATAAATGTATGAATTTTTATGGCTGTTTTTCTCCCCTTTTCCTTTCTTTATATCATTTGGTTATTGAGGTCGATAAAGGTATGAATTTTTGAGGCTTTTTTTCCCTTTTCCTTTCTTTATATCATTTGGTTATTGAGGTCGATAAAGGTATGACTTTTATGGCTGTTTTTTCCCTTTTCCTTTCTTTATATCATTTGGTTATTGAGGTCGATAAAGGTATGAATTTTATGGCTGTTTTCCCTTTTCTTTTTTATATCATTTGGTTATTGAGGTCGATAATGTATGAATTTTATGGCTGTTTTTTCTCCTTTTCCTTTCTTTTATATCATTTGGTTATTGAGGTCGATAAAGGTATGACTTTTATGGCTGTTTTCCTTTTCCTTCTTTTATATCATTTGGTTATTGAGGTCGATAAAGGTATGAATTTTATGGCTGTTTTTTCTCTTTTCCTTTCTTTTATATCATTTGGTTATTGAGGTCGATAAATGTGTGAATTTTATGGCTGTTTTTTTTTTTTCTTTTTCCTTCTTTTATATCATTTTGATTATTGAGGTCGATAAAGGTATGATTTTTCTAAACCTTTTTCTTCCTTTTTCTTTGATTATTGGGGTTATAAGTACATTCCTTGAGGTAATTGGAGGACAAAACTAAGAATTTTCAAGTCCGCCTGTTCTCTCTTCCTTGTTGTTTTTCTTACTTTGTTTATTAAGGTCATAATCCTACATCCTCGAGGCGACTGAAGGACGAAAGTAGGAACGTTCAAGTTTGCTTTTTTTCTCTTTCCTGCTTTTTTTTCTTACTTTGTTTGTTAAGGTCATAATCCTACATCCTCGAGGCGACTGGACAAAATTAGGAATTTTCAAGTCTGTTTGTTTTCTTTTTGTCTTTTTTCTTACTTTGATCATTAGCGGGTAATTTGCGAGTACGGTTATACTAATTCGTGCTCTAATACGTCAATCAGTAAGTTGTAGATCCTCTAAGTACCCCTTTTGTACCCTTGAATCATCACATTCATCGCCCTTTAACATCACTTTTGTCTTCCTTAATCGTCAACTTTGTCATCACCTTTAACATCACCTTCGTCTCCCTTAATCATCACCTGCGTCTCCCTTAATGGCCACCCGCGTCCCCCTCGATTCCCGCAGGAGTGTACCGCTGCGTGGCCAAGAACGACGCCGGGGTCACGGAGCTGCTGTTCCCGCTGGAGGTCCTCGTGGCGCCGCAGTTCACCGAGTTCTTCCACAACCCCGACGTGACCTTGCATGCCGGGGAAGAGCTTGACCTCGATTGCGACGTCAGCGGTGACCCCGAGCCGCAGGTGAGAGGGTGTGCTCGGATTGGTGTGGGAAGAAGGATTATTTTTTTTTAAATAAAATTCTGGTAAATGCGGGTATATATGATTTTGGTATGTGCGAGTTTATTTTTTTTGTTTCAGGTTTTATTTTTTTATAGCTTGCTTGATTTTAGTGAAGTTGGATAGATTTTTTTTGTTTCATTTTTGAATGTATAAGCCTAAAAGAATTGAATAGGATTTTGTTGATATCATTATTTTTAGTTCCTAAAATATATCGCCACACCCATATCCACATACTTTAAATACATCTTACAGATGATACCAACCTTTTTACAAAATAATACCCACCAAACGAATAATTAAACTATTAATCAAATAATAAAACGCATAATCATACTATTAATCAAATTATAAAAGAATAAACATCTAAACTCCAACACAGGTATCATGGAAACGCGACGGCGAGCCCCTGTACGCCCACGTGTCGCCAGGGGGTCGCCGAGTGCACGTGCAGCACGCCAAGATCGGGCATGCTGGCCACTACACGTGCACGGCCGTCAACACCGCTGGCACCACGCACAGGAACTTCAGTGTCACCGTCCTCAGTCAGTGTCGTGCTTGCGCTGCCGTTCTGGTCATTCAGTGTAGTTGATTTGTGTTTATTTTTGAGATTGGGGGGTATGTAGGGTGTGTGGATGGATGGGTGGATGGATGGGTGGATGGATGGATGGATGGATGGATGGATGGATGGATGATGGATGGATGGATGGATGGATGGATGGATGGATGGATGGATGGATGGATGGATGGATGGATGTATTTATGTATTATGTATGTATGTATATGTATGTATGTATGTATGTATGTATGTATGTATGTATGTATGTATGTATGTATGTATGAATGTATGAATGTATGAATGTATGAATGTATGAATGTATGAATGTATGAATGTATGAATGTATGAATGTATGAATGTATGAATGTATGAATGTATGAATGTATGATGTATGTATGTATGAATGTATGAATGTATGTATGTATGTATGTATGTATGTATGTATGTATGTATGTATGTATGTATGTATGTATGTATGTATGTATGTATGTATGTATGTATGTATGTATGTATGTATGTATGTATGTATGTATGTATTTATGGATGAAAATATTTGAATGAATGTATTTATGTGTGTATGTATGTATGAATGAATGAATATATATATATATATATAATATATAATATATATATATATATATATATATATATATATATATATGTATTATTGTATGTATGTATTTATATAGGAATGTATATATAAAATGAATGAATGAATGTATGCATGTATGTATGTTTGTATGTGTATATGTATGTATATATGTATGTATATGTATGTATGTATGTACTCTGTGTTATCTCTGTGTTATTTCTGCGTTAGGATTTTTGCTAACTTAAGTGGAATGGATGTGTGGTTTCTGGCAGTAATTATATTTATATACGCGTATTTTTCAAAAGCGATTTTATAGAAAACGAAAAAAAAACTTAATACTCAGTCAACCATATCGCTCTAAACCTCAATACCACGACAACTCCCTACTTTCCAGGGATATAAACGAAGCCAGAGACTCATTCTAGTTCCCTCACAGAGCCGCCCACGATGGAGGAAGGGGGCGCGGGCGAGCTGACGGGCGTGGAAACCGTGGAGGGGAGGGACGCCAAGCTGTGGTGTCGGGCGGACGGCTCACCCGCGCCCGAGATCGCCTGGACGAAGGACCGCCAGTTCATCGCGCCCTTGTGGGTGACCTTCTCGTAGTGATGGGGATCGTAGGGAGACTGGTGGAGAGTAATGATTATTATGATAATGATGGTGGTGATGGTTTGGTAGTAATGGTGGTAATGGTAGTGGTGATGATAGGGATACTAGTGATTATGGTAATGGTGGTGATGGTTTGGTAGTAACGGTGGTTATGGTGATAATAGGGAGACTAGTGATTGTAGTGATGGTGGTGATGGTTTGGTAGTAATGATGGTAATGGTGGTTATGGGGATCATAGGGAGACTGGTGGAGAGTAATGATTATTATGATAATTAGGGTGGTGATGGTTTGGTAGTAATGGTGGTAATGGTAGTGATGGGGATGATAGGGAGACTGGTGGAGAGTAATGATTATTATGATAATTATGGTGGTGATGGTTTGGTAGTAGTGGTGGTAATGGCAGTGGTGATGATAGGGATACTAATGATTATGGTAATGGTGATGATAGGGAGACTAATGGTTATAGTAATGGTGGTGATGGTTTGGTAGTAACGGTGGTTATGGTCCAGTTCATCGCGCCCTTGTGGGTGATCTTCTCGTAGCTATGGGGATCGTAGGGAGACTGGTGGAGAGTAATGATTATTATGATAATTAGGGTGGTGATGGTTTGGTAGTAATGGTGGTAATGGTGGTTATGGGGATCGTAGGGAGACTGGTGGAGAGTAATGATTATTATGATAATTATGGTGGTGATGGTTTGGTAGTAATGGTGGTAATGGTGGTTATGGGGATCATAGGGAGACTGATGGAGAGTAATTATATTGATAATGATGTGGTGATGGTTTTGTAGTAATGATATAATGGTAGTGATGGGGATAATAGGGAGACTAGTGATTATTGTAATGGTGGTGATGGTTTAGTAGTAATGGTGGTTATGGTGATAATAGGGATAGTAGTGATTATGGTAATGGTGATAATAGGGAGACTAGTGATTATGGTGATGGTGGTGATGGTTTGGTAGTAGTGGTGGTAATGGTAGTGGTGATAATAGGGATACTAGTGATTATAGTGATGGTGGTGATGGTTTGGTAGTAATGATGGTAATGGTAGTGGTGATAATAGGGATACTAATGATTATAGTAATGGTGGTGATGGTTTGGTAGTAATGGTGGTTATGGGGATCATGGGGAGACTAGTGATTATAGTAATGGTGTTGAGGTTTGGTAGTATGATGGTAATGGTAGTGGTGATGATAGGGATACTAATGATTATGGTAATGGTGGTAATGGTGATAATAGGGAGACTAATGATTATAGTAATGGTGGTGATGGTTTGGTAGTAATGATGGTAATGGTGATAATAGGGAGACTAATGATTATAGTAATGGTGGTAATAATAGCTTTGGTAGTAATGATGATAATGGTAGCTGTGATGATGATTGGTATTGATGATAAGAAAATTTATGTTAGTGACGAGGGTGATAAGTATTGATATGATTATTATTGTTGCTTTGATTATTGTATGCAATGTCAGTGATATTAATGTTACGTCTTTTCTGTGTTAACAGGCTGATAAACATTATATATATAACTCTGAAGGAAATATTTGCTTATTTCCACATTAGCCAATGTATACCACGAACCAGAAATTGCTACACCAAAAATACTCATCCATACCCTTCAAAATACACTTTTTTATCACACACAAAACGTTTACTAAACCACCCTAAACGTTTTCTGCCCTTCTCCGTCTCCCGGCGCCTACTCTCTTCCACACGAAACGTTTACTAATTGCCATTAAACGTTTTCTTCCTCCTCTGTCTCCCGACGCCAACGTTCTCTCCCACACGAAACGTTTACTAACCCACATTAAACGTTTCCTTCCCGTCTCTATCACCGTCGCCTACTTTCTCTCCCACCCGAAACGTTTACTAACCCACATTAAACGTTTTCTCCCCCTCTGTCTCCCGACGCCAACATTCTCTCCCACACGAAACGTTTACTAGCCCACATAAAACGTTTTCTTCCACTCTCTGTCCCATACGTCTACTTTCTCTCCCACACGAAACGTTTACTAATTGACATTAAACGTTTTCTTCCCGTCTCTATCACCGTCGCCTACTTTCTATCTCACGCGAAACGTTTACTAAACCACCTTAAACGTTTTCTCCCCCCTCTGTCCCCGGCGCCACAGGCAGGAGGGGAAATACTCCACGCAGGAGGAAGGACAGATGCTCACCATACACAAGGTCACGCCAGAATCCTCGGGTCTGTACGAGTGCACCGCCACCAACTTCGTGGGCACCGCCACACGCACCTTCAACCTCTCCGTCATGAGTAAGGGAGATAGGATAAGGGATGATAGGGTGAGAGGGAGGGGTTCTGGCTTGGCTCGCTGGCGGGTTCTTGTTGTTGTGGAGTGTGTGTGTTGAGGGAGATGCCTGTGAATTCGTTGTTGGGGTTAGGAGAGATTGAGAGTGAGGAAGTGTGAGATTGAGAGGGAGGAAGTGTGAGATTGAGAGGGAGGAAGTGTGAGAATGAGAGTGGGGGTGAGAGTGAGAGTGAGTGAGAGTGAGAGTGGAGTGGAGTGGGAGTGAGAGTGAGCGAGAGTGAGAGTGAGAGTGAGAGTGGGAGTGAGAGTGAGTGAGTGAGTGTGTGAGGGTGAGAGAATGTAAGAGTGAGAGAATATGAGAATGAGAGAATATGAGAATGAGAGAATGTAAGAGTGAGAGAATGTGAGAGTGAGAGAATGTGAGAGTGAGAGAATGTGAGAGTGAGAGAATGTGAGAGTGAGAGAATGTGAGAGTGAGAGAATGAGAGAGAGTGAGAGTGAGAGTGTGAGAGAGATGTGAGAGTGAGAGAATGTGAGAGTGAGAGAATGTGAGAGAGTGAGAGGTGAAGAGTGAGAGTGAGAGTGAGAGAATGTGAGAGTGAGAGAATGTGAGAGTGAGAGAATGTGAGAGTTGAGAGTGTGAGAGTGAGAGAAATGTGAGAGTGAGAGAATGTGAGAGTGAGAGAGAGAAGTGAGAGTGAGAGAATGTGAGAGTGAGAGAATGTGAGAGTGAGAGAATGTGAGAGTGAGAGAATGTGAGAGTGAGAGAATGTGAGAGTGAGAGAATGTGAGTGAGAGTGAGAGAATGAGAGTGAGAGAATGTGAGAGTGAGAGTGAGAGAATGAGAGTGAGAGAATGTGAGAGTGAGAATGTGAGAGTGAGAGAATGTGAGAGTGAGAGTATATGAGAATAAGAGAATGTGAGAGTGAAAGAATGTGAGTGAAAGAATGTGAGAGTGAAAGAATGTGAGAGAGTGAAAGAATGTGAGAGTGAAAGAATGTGAGAGTGAAAGAATGTGAGAGTGAAAGAATGTGAGAGTGAAAGAATGTGAGAGTGAAAGAATGTGAGAGTGAAAGAATGTGAGAGTGAAAGAATGTGAGAGTGAATGTGAGAGTGAAATGTGAGAGTGAAAGAATGTGAGTGAGAATGTGAGAGTGAAAGAATTGTGAGAGTGAAAGAATGTGAGAATGTGGAATGTGAGAGTGAAGAATGTGAGAGTGAAAGAATGTGAGAGTGAAAGAATGTGAGAGTGAAAGAGTGAAGTGAGAATGTGAGAGTGAAAGAATGTGAGAGTGAAAGAATGTGAGAGTGAAAGAATGTGAGAGTGAAAGAATGTGAGAGTGAAAGATGTGAAGTGAAAGAATGTGAGAGTGAAAGAATGTAGAGTGAGAATGTGAGAGTGAAAGAATGTGAGAGTGAAAGAATGTGAGAGTGAAGAGTGAGAGTGAAAGAATGTGAGAGTGAAAGAATGTGAGAGTGAAAGAATGTGAGAGTGAAGAATGTGAGAGTGAAAGAATGTGAGAGTGAAAGAATGTGAGAGTGAAAGAAATGTGAGAGTGAAAGAATGTGAGAGTGGAAAGAATGTGAGAGTGAAAGAATGTGAGAGTGAAAGAATGTGAGAGTGAAAGATGTGAGAGTGAAAGAATGTGAGAGTGAAGAATGTGAGAGTGAAAGAATGAGAGTGAAAGAAATGTGAGAGTGAAAGAATGGAGTTGAGAGTGAAAGAATGTGAATGAAAGAATGTGAGAGTGAGAAAGAAGAATGTGAGAGTGTGAGAGTGAAAAGAATGTGAGAGTGAAAGAATGTGAGAGTGAAAGAATGTGAGAGTGAAAGAATGTGAGTGAGTGTGAGAGTGAAGAATGTGAGAGTGTCCCGAGTCTTTGAGAGTGAGTTGAGTGAATGATGACAGGATAAGAGTATTCGGTCTTGGCATGTTGGTAGGTTCGTGCTGTGGAGTATGCGTGAGAGAGAGAAAGAAAGAGAAAGTGAAACATCTAGAAATAGAAGGAAAGAAAGAAATATAGATAGATAGATGGACAGACAGAGAGTACCAAGCGTGACATGCCCTTTCCCCACAGCGCCGCCCACGATCCACGACGCGGGCGGAGGCGACGTGGTGACGGACGTGCAGGTGGTGTCGGGTCGGGAGGCCATCCTGCACTGCGACGTCGAGGGCTCCCCGCCGCCCACCATCACCTGGCTCCGGGATGGGCGGACCCTCAAGCCGGGGCCCCGCGTCCACTTCACGGGCCCCTACGAACTCCTCCTGACGAGCGTGCAGGCGGGGGACGCCGGGGACTACGCCTGCCTGGCCACCAACCGCGCGGGGACGGCGGAGAAGCAGTTCGACGTCAGGGTCATTGGTAGGTCTGGAGTCTTTGCCATTTTCTGAAGGTGTGGATAGTCGTCTCGTGGGGCTGATCGTCAATAAGTTTTATTAATATGAATAGCTAATATTCGAGTTTTTGATATGGAATGCCAATATTCGGCTTTTAAAATGTGGATAGGCCCATATTCTGTTCTTTAATGTGGATAGCTTATATTCGACTTTTTAGTATCAATAGCCATTATTCGACTTTTTAGTATCAATAGCCAGCATTCGACTTTTTAGTATCAATAGCCAACATTCGACTTTTGAAGTCCTTGGTCGCGAATAACCATGGAAATTTCGTCACCAGTTCCGGCCACGATAGCGGAAGATGAGGATGGGTCTCCGCCGATGCAGGAGGTCCTGGTCGACATGCCCTTCTCCCTCTTCTGTCCTGTAGAAGGCACGCCGCAGCCACGCATCACTTGGACGAAGGTACAGTAAGCTCGGCTCCGATAAATGCGATCTTCATAACTACTTGTTCCTCATCCCGCATTCGAAGTGTAAACATGATATAATATCTGCCCTTGTTTTAGCATTTAGAACCCGGGTGTCTAAATGGGTAGCGTCTGCGTGCCCTCAAACCCCTCTAAAGCAGGTCTGTCCGACAGAACGCCGCTCCGCTGGATGGTCTGCTCGGCTTCCATGGCCTGGGCGGGCGGGTGGCGCTGGGGGACGGCGGGCGACGTCTGTTGGTGTCAGAGGCCGTCATGCAGGACACCGGGACCTACATGTGCGCGGCCGAGAACGAAGGCGGGCGCGACACGGCCACATACCAAGTCAATGTGCTAGGTGCGTAGCGGAGCGGGGGCAAGAACGCGGTGAATTGCGGGTGGAAAGGAAAGCCGCTCTGTGGCTGTGTGAAGGGAGGGAAGGACTTTTACAAACGGCTGTTTACATTTTTTTTTACTTTGAAGAATGATCACGGAATGTTTGCGTTCACCTGGAAATATCATAACAGATCGTGGAGGGACATTAGAAATTCAGGTGAAATAAGATCCGCAAATGGATGATATATAATAATGATTTTATGATTATTATTCTCAGCACCACCAGTGATTATACAAGACAAGGACACCTTCCGGTCCGCTGTGGAGGGCGACGACGTGGTCCTCGACTGCGAAGTGGACGGCGACCCTCCGCCCGCCATCGTGTGGCTGCAGGACGGCGTGTCACTGCAGGAACTGTTCTTGCCGGCCATCACTGTCCACGACGTAGGGCGTGGGAAGGTTAGTGTGTCTTTCAGTTTTTTTTCCTTCAGTCCTCCTGAAGTATTATAAATGAAAGGATTGAAAAAATATTGTTCGATAAGTGAAAGGGGAAATTTCTCTTTTTAGATAGGCATTAGAAGCATTTTTTTTCCTTTTTTAAAGATAAATCAAAATTAGATTATTGAAAGGTATTACCTTTTTGTATTAATGTTTATGCTTTTTACCAGAGGTTAACTTCATTACAAAATATAACTTCTTTACCAAACATTTAATTTGATTATTTCTCTTAGACATTCCCTTCCTTTATTAGTATCGAAATTTCTTTATTAGTATCAAAATTTCTTTAATGTACACTCACCAAATCATACCCTCATAACCTCCCATCCTTATGTATCAATATTATCCCCTATGTGGGTTACTTTGGTCCTGTTTTTGACCGATGCCTAATTAAAACAGACGAAATATCGTGGAAGACTGAACCACCCCGTTGAGGTAGCAAACCATTACATTTCGTCCGTTTGGAGTTAGACATCGGACAAATACGGGAACAGACGATATCCTTATTACACACATATAAGTTTGCATTCTCAACGCACCTGTCTCTTCCCGAAACCCAAAAGTCTGAGCTGAGAATCAAGAGCGTGAGCGAATTCCACGCCGGCTCGTACACCTGTATAGCGAGCAGCGTGGCGGGGTCGGACGAGCAGACGTACGTGTTGAGGGTCGTGACCCCGCCCCGCCTGGAGGACCCCAGCGCCCCCACGTTCGTCAGCGTCCGTGCGAGTAGGCCGGCGACCCTCTCGTGTCTCATCCACGCATCGCCTGATCCGCAGATCTTCTGGTTCAAGGTGACTGAGGACAGATTTTATGAATGGGAGATGAGTAATTGGATGAATGAATGGGTGATTGCACTGATAGGTGAATTATGAGGAGAGTTATTGATGGTTGGATGAATTGATTGGTGGATTGAAGGATGGATGAGGATGTGAATTGATAGGTGACTGGATGGATGCACTGATAGATTGATGAGTAGATTTATAGATAATTGGATAAATTGTTTGAGGAATTGGCGAATGGGTAAGGATATAATATTGATAAATAAATAATTAATACATATTCAATGGATGAATATATATAGGCATATCAATAGGTAAATCAATAAAGTCATAGAATCTCGTGAAAAGCAGTCTTGGGTCTTACATGGGGATGAAAGTCTACGCGTCTTTACACCACATTTCAGTATCTCTTCCCGTCTCTGTCATTTTAATCAAATGACTTGCCATGTAGATCTTTAAGAGTATTTATTTATAGATGTTTACATGCATACCTATGCATGTGTGTCTGTCTGTGTCCGTTTGTATGTCTGTATGTTTGTTTATCTGTTATTTTGTCTGATAACTAACGCTTATTCTCTTGTTCTCTCTTGTTTTTGTCTCTATTTTGTTTCTCATTTCATTTATCTTAATGTTTATGTAATTAATTACGTCTACGGGGATTTACATACAATGTAACTACGATAACCTCTTATCAATATTTTTCTTACTTAATCGCTTCCTTATTTTGACGTTTTGACAGTTTAATCATAGGTGTATCGATACGTATATATGTACGTGTCTTTCTTACTCTCTGCATCTGTTCATTATAAGCCTCTGTTCAGTTATAAACTTTCGTCTGTCGATATGGCAAATCTATCTTTATATCTGTATATATCTATTTAACAGTTAAACCATATTTAACTATGCATCCCTTTATCCTTTCTCATATATATGTACCCTTTATTTTTTCCTTATCCTTCTTTATTCATGTACGTCTTATTCTTTCCATCTCCTTTCTTATCCATGTTCCTTTTATGTTTTCCTTATCCTTCTTTATCTATGTACCCCTTATTATTTCCTTATCCTTTCTCATTGAGTTACTCCCTATTCTTTCCTTCTCATTCCTTATCTGCATATCCCTTATTATTTGCTTATCCTCTCCCATTTAGTTTATTCTATCGTTATTCCTTTTTATCTGCATATCCCTTATTCTTTCCTATCTTCCATAAATGAATGGCTATGTATTTATTATTTATTATTTGCATATCCTCTCTCATTTAGTTTATTCTATCGTTATTCCTTTTTATCTGTATATCCCTTATTCTTTCCTATCTTCCCTAAATGAATGGCTATGTATTTATTATTTATTATTTGCATATCCTCTCTCCCATTTAGTTTATTCTATCGTTATTCCTTTTTTATCTGCATGTCCCTTATTCTTTCCTATCTTCCCTAAATGAATGGCTATGTATTTATTATTTATTATTTGCATATCCTCTCTCTCATTTAGTTTATTCTATCGTTATTCTTTGTTATCTACATATCCCTTATTCTTTCCTATCTTCCCGAAATGAATGGCTATGTATTTTCTTTTTAGAATTTATTATTTGCATATCCTCTCTCATTTAGTTTATTCTATCGTTATTCTTTGTTATCTACATATCCCTTATTCTTTCCCATCTTCCCGAAATGAATGGCTATGTAATTTCTTTTTAGAATAACATGCCGCTGGACGAGGACGACCCCAACCTTCACTTGGGCGCTGGAGGACGAGATCTGAAACTCCTTCAGGTGACGGAGGTCGACGCCGCGAACTACTCGTGCCTGGCCATGAACGAGGCGGGTTCGCTCTCCCTCAACTTTACGCTCGAAGTCCATGGTTAGCGGTTCGGATCCCCTTTCCATCCCTTATTGAGATTCGCTTTTGTTTTGTTTTTCTTTGGGTTCTGTTTGTTGTGGCATTGATACTTGCTTTGTTTTTTCTTTTTTTTTGTGGGGAATTATTCGTTTTGCTAAGTTTGTGGTATATATTTTGATTGATTTGTGTTAATTGATATGGTAAATATATTTTTTGAATTTGTTTATGGTTTTGTATCTAATTTCGGAATCTGACTCATTCATTTCTTTGACTTGATTATCGATATTTGTGATAAGTATACTCTATCTTTAAACATACTATAGTTTTATGTTACTAATTAGATTTTATTATCACTTATTTATTCATAGTTATTTATTTATGTATTTACTTTTTGATTTATTCTCTTATTATTATTATTTCTTTGCACCGACGTCTCTCAGTCCCGCCACGGGATTTTATTATCACTTATTTATTCATAGTTATTTATTTATTTACTTTCTGATTTATTCTCTTATTATTATTATTTCTTTGCACCGACGTCTCTCAGTCCCGCCACGGGATTTTATTATCACTTATTGATTCATAATTATTTATATATTTACTTTCTGATTTATTCTCTTATTATTATTATTTCTTTGCACCGACGTCTCTCAGTCCCGCCACGCTTCACGGAGTCTGTGGTGGGAGACGTGAACGCCGTCGCAGGTGAGGACGTCGAGCTCTTCTGCCCCGTCCACGCCACGCCCTCGCCCTCAGTGCTGTGGATGAGGGACTCGGGCATCATCCAGCACTCCTTTACTGCCACGTACGGACGGGCGTCGGTCCTTTTTTTAGGTTTAGATTTCTTTGAAGGGGTGGTGGTGGGGGTGGGTGGATTTTTTGAGATAGGATTTATGGAGTGTTATGTTTTTTTCTTTTTAAGGTCATTTTTTATATCGTGGTTGTGATGGTGTGAGGTATAGAAGTTTGCTGTATTTTCGTTTCTTGAAGGATTTTGTTGTGATGAACGTAGAACACATCTTACATTACAGACCTATCCATTCCCATTCATCAAATACACCAAAACCCTTTATTCCCCTCGACATGTCAATCTTCTCCCTCGTGACGCTTGCATGACCTCTGACCTCCGACGTTCCAGGGACCCTCGGCGCCTGGCCCTCCAGAACGTGACCAAGGAGGACGACGGCCGATACACCTGCCTGGCGACCAACGAAGCGGGGACCATCGAGCAGGACTTCACGCTGAGGGTCATGGGTACGGTTGTTACTCTCCACCCAAAGGAGGTTGTGTGTTTTTTTTTTAAGTAGCGATGGGTAGTTTGTTGGTTTGTTTAGTTTGCTGGATAACTCGTAAAGTTATGAACAGATTTTTATGATTTTTATGTCTTAGCCCAATTTAGATGCTATTAAATTTTGGTGGTGATCCGGATCCAGGAATCTTTTAAGGTTTTCATTAGCCTTGCGAGATAGGGAAACATAGACGTTACCAGTATATTTGAGAAAGAGGTGATTTTAGTGTGATTTTTTCGTGTGAATATTTTCATTGCATCGGTGACCCTTTTGTCTCGGCGTAAGTATGTGCTCTTTAATTCTAAGTTTACTATTTTTTGTTTTTAGTTATATGAGGTTATGATAGTTGGTTATTTATGGAAATATTTTTTGTGGCCTCTATATCTATTTATCAATAGATATAGAAACAGTTTTGGATATATCACAAATTAGACAATGTGAGACAAGGACAATAGGCAAGAAAATAGCAATTTTAGTTGATGTTTTATACAAATAAACCAATAAAACAAGAACAACAACATCAATAAAGTAGGAAATTAGATTATTACTTCCAGTAAAACAGGACACAACAAACAACAAGAAAAAGAAGGAAAAGATGGTCATCCTAACACGTCAATCTTATCATCCTCAGTGGCACCTAAACTACTGGATCTGGACCAACCTGTCGTGGAGAAATCTGTGGTTCTCAATCGCCCAGTGACCATTACGTGCTTCATCGTCGCCGACCCCCCGCCCACCATCACGTGGCTGAAGGTATCGGAGAGGGAATCCGAGTCTCTTTGTTTCGTCAGCTGATTCGAATGGCTAAGTTTCTTTCGTTGTTTTTTTTTTTTTATGGGAGGGAATTTGATCCCATTCTTCGGAGAGTAAGTTTGAGTGATTTATAGGTGTTTGATTTGCCTTTTTTTTTCTTTTTGTTCAGGTGTGTTTTTTAACTTAGTTCTATTTCCTGTAAAGTTCAACAGGTAGCCGTGTGTTGTCTCTCGTTATTCAACATCATTAGTTTATAATTAGCGCCGTCTTTTGCCCTTTATAGGTTCTAAAAGCTAAACATTAAATTCAAAACAAAAGGTTTTTCATTTTAATAATAGATGCAAAATCCTTCCTTAACTACCGCACTCTGTATGCAGATATTTACATCTTATAAAAGTGACATATAGTGTTCACAACTCGACTCTCAACACTCCAACGCAATCCTCACCCCCCCCCCACACACAACTCCCAACAACACACCTTACTCCTCCTACATCTCCTTCTGCCTCACTCCCCAGGACGACCACGCTCTATCCGCCCTGCATTCGGGCGTGAGCGTAGACAACCACGGGCGGCAGGTGAGCATAACGAGGGCGCGCGGAGCCGACGCCGGGAACTACACCTGCCTCGCCACCAACGCTGCCGGGACGACCACCCTGACCACGCTCCTCACCGTTCTCACGCCTCCGACATGGGCCACGGTGAGACCACGGAGCTTGTTCGTTGTTGTTCGTTGTTCGTTGTTCGTTGTTCGCTGTTCGCTGTTCGTTGTTTGTTGTTTGTTGTTCGTTGTTCGTTGTTCGTTGTTCGTTGTTCGTTGTTCGTTGTTCGTGGAAGGAGCGGGTGTTCTGTGTTCGTTTGTGGAGTATGTATCCTGTTGTTGTTTTTGGAATAAGCAGGATGTTCTGTGTTATAATTATTTATTTATTTATTATTATTACTATTTTTTTTGGGGGGGGGGTCTGTACTTGTGTTTAGGATGTTTAGATGTATTATCAAGCGAGTCTGTTGTTGTATTTCCATGCTTCCGAATTAAGGATCTAGTCTGTCTTTTTATTTATCTTTACATCTGCTTGTTTATGTGTCTAATAATTAAATCGTTAGTCTTCCAATTATTATAAATCTCTTTCTTATCTCTCTCTCTCTCTCTCTCTCTCTCTCTCTCTCTCTTCTCTCTCTCTCTCTCTCTCTCTCTCTCTCTCTCTCTCTCTCTCTCTCTCTCTCTCTCTCTCTCTCTCTATCTATCTATCTCGCAATTTATCTACAATATATCTTTATCCATATCTTTATCTATCTATCTATCTATATGTCTATATCTATCTGTCTATCTGTCTACTTATTCATCTATCAAGCAATCTCTCTCTCAAGCCATGTTGATTTCCCTCGCCTTGTGTACTGTGCTGGCGCAGCGGTAAGGTGCTGGTCTAGCAATCTTGCGGACCTGCGTTCAATCCCACGCCCGGCCAGTGAGTGGTATCCCCGGCCACTCCTTGCACACAAGGGGAGATTTGGGCAAAATAAAACAGACAGTATGTCACAGCAAAGAATATCCATTGTAACAAATGGAATTAAACTAAATCTTAATCTTAAATCTAATCTTCTTTGGCCTCGTGTCCCCCAGGGTTCGGAACTGGAGGAGAAGGTGATCGGCGTGGCTGGCGAGAGCCTCGATCTCTTCTGTGACGTCACTGGCACGCCCACGCCCACCATCCTGTGGCTCAAGGACGGCCAGATCATCACGCCCTTGTTGGGTAGCAGGAACTTCACGGCGTCGGATAGGTGAGTGCGTGATGGCTAACGGGCTTCGAAATAATTTCATTTATGAGAGAAGGACATGGATTTCTGATTCGTCTCGCGTAAGGCCTGTAATATATCATGAACAATAATGGTAGATACATCTTCAGTGTGTCATAAGATATAGGAAAACCAAAGACAAATACGCCTTCTAGATTTCAAGGTATCATTACAGATAGCAAGAACACGACAATTACATCTTTAATATATCATGAATAAATGAAAAAAAACACGCGTGTACCTTCAAGATGCCATAAACTAGCAAAAACATCGGTATTTACGCAGAAAAAATACTCTCCCTAGATGTCATAAAAAGTATGCATTTAAGATACCATAAAAAGATGACAAAAATAACGACAATTACGCAGAAAAATACATTTCTTTCACAGGTCATCGCACTTCCCAAAACATAACGACAGTTACGTTAAAAATATATTTCCTTCACAGGTTATTGCACTTCAATTCCCTCGCCAAAAAACTAACGACAATTACCCCAAAAATACATTCCCTTCACAGGTTATTGCACTTCAATTCCCTCGCCAAAAAATAACGACAATTTCGCAAAAAAATACATTTCCTTCACAGGTTATTGCACTTCAATTCCCTCACCAAAAATAACGACAATTACCCCAAAAATACATTCCCTTCACAGGTTATTGCACTTCAATTCCCTCGCCAAAAAATAACGACAATAATATATTCCCTTCACAGGCTATTGCACTTCAATTCCCTCGCCCCCCCCCAAAAAAAAAGACAGTTACGCTAAAAATATATTTCCTTCATAGGCTATTGCACTTCAATTCCCTCACCAAAAAAATAACGATAATTACTCAAAAAATACATTTCCTTCACAGGCTATTGCACTTCAATTCCCTCACCAGAAAAACTCTAAAAACTCTAAAAACTCTAAAAATATATTTCCTTCTCAGGTTATTGCACTTCAATTCCCTCGCCAAAAAAAAAAAAAAAAACGACAGTTACCCCCAAAATACATTTCTTTCACAGGCTACTGCACTTCAATTCCCTCACCAAAAAACTAACGACAATTACCCCCCCAAAAAAATTCTTTCACAGGCTATTGCACTTCAATTCCCTCGAAAAAACGATAATTACTCAAAAAATACATTTCCTTCACAGGCTACTGCACTTCAATTCCCTCACCAAAACCTCTAAAACTCTAAAAATATATTTTCCTTCTCAGGTTATTGCACTTCAATTCCCTCACGAAAAAAACTCAAAAAACTCTAAAAATATATTCCCTTCACAGGCTACTGCACTTCAATTCCCTCGCCCAAGACGACTCCGGGTTGTACAGCTGCATCACGAGCAACGCAGCGGGAACAGCGGAGTATGTGTTCGATGTGGATGTTCTCGCGCCGCCGTCGCTCTCCTACCAGCCCAAGACGCAGCATACGGGTCGGTTTCGTTTTCTTCTTTCTTTTCTTATCTTTTGTTTTGTTTTGTTTTTGTTTTCTTTTTGTTTGGTTTGTTTTCTTTCTCGATTTGTTTGTTTGTTTGTTTTCTTTTGTTTGTTTGTTTCTTTCTTTTCTTTCTTTTGTTTGTTTCTTTCTTTTCTTTTCCTTCTTTCTTTCTTTTGTTTGTTTATGTCTTTCCTTCCCTTTTCTTTCTTTTTATCTGTCATTCTTTCTTTCTTGATTTGTTTGTTTGTTTCTTTATTTGCTTTATTTCTTTTATTTACCTATTTCTTTCTTTTTTACTTGTCTTTTCTTTCTTTCTTTCTTGATTTGTTTGTTTTTTCTTATTTGCTTTCTTTCTTTTTCTTTCGTTTTATTTACCTATTTCTTTTCTTTCTTGACTTCTCCTTCTGAGAAACAAACCACGCAGCCACTAATCCTCCAATCCTAATCCTCCTAATCCTTCCAGTGCTAGTGAACCGCGCCCTGAGCCTGGACTGCCCCGTGGAAGGGAACCCCGAACCGGAAGTAAAATGGTTCATGGACGACCAGCCCGTGAACCCCAAGGGACAGTTCGTGAGGCTCACCAGTCAGGCTCGGCAACTCCATCTGCTCAGGTGAGGTGGTGGGGTTCTCGGTATATGAGGTGTGGGGGTTTGTTGAGGTTTCTGGATGGGGTGGGGTGGGTTTCTTGGTTGGATGGGTGGGGTGGATAGGGTGGGAGGTGTCTGGTGCGGTGTGGGTTGCTTTGCGAGGCGGATATGTGGGTTTCTTGGTTGGATGGGTGGGGTGGATAGGGTGGGAGGTGTCTGGTGCGATGTGGGTTTCTCTGTGAGGCGGATATGTGGGTTTCTTGGTTGGATGGGGGGGTGGATAGGGTGGGAGGTGTCTGGTGCGATGTGGGTTTCTTTGCGAGGCGGGTATGTGGGTTTCTTGGTTGGATGGGTGGGGTGGATAGGGTGGGAGGTGTCTGGTGCGATGTGGGTTTCTCTGTGAGGCGGATATGTGGGTTTCTTGGTTGGATGGTGGGTGGGAGGCGTCTGGTGCGATGTGGGTTTCTCTGTGAGGCGGATATGTGGGTTTCTTTGTTGGATGGGCGGGGTGGATAGGGTGGGAGGTGTCTGGTGCGATGTGGGTTTTCTCTGTGAGGCGGATATGTGGGTTTCTTGGTTGGATGGGTGGGGTGGGAGGCGTCTGGTGCGATGTGGGTTTCTTTGTGAGGCGGATATGTGGGTTTCTTGGTTGGATGGGTGGGTGGGAGGCGTCTGGTGCGATGTGGGTTTCTTTGTGAGGCGGATATGTGGGTTTCTTGGTTGGATGGGTGGGGTGGATAGGGTGGGAGGCGTCTGGTGGATGTGGGTTTCTTTGTGAGGCGGATATGTGGGTTTCTTGGTTGGATGGGTGGGTGGGAGGTGTCTGGTGCGATGTGGGTTTCTCTGTGAGGCGGATATGTGGGTTTTCTTGGTTGGATGGGTGTGGGTGGGGGTGGGAGGTGTCTGGTGCGATGTGGGTTTCTCTGTGAGGCGGATATGTGGGTTTCTTGGTTGGATGGTGGATGGTGCGATGTGGGTTTCTCTGTGAGGCGGATATGTGGGTTTCTTGGTTGGATGGGTGGGTGGGAGGTGTCTGGTGCGATGTGGGTTTCTTTGTGAGGCGGATATGTGGGTTTCTTGGTTGGATGGTGGATAGGGTGGGAGGTTCTGGTGCGATGTGGGTTTCTTGTGAGGCGGATATGTGGGTTTTTGGTTGGATGGGTGGTGGGAGGTGTCTGGTGCGATGTGGGTTTCTCTGTGAGGCGGATATGTGGGTTTTCTTGGTTGGATGGGTGGGTGGGAGGTGTCTGGTGCGATGTGGGTTTCTTGTGAGGCGGATGTGTGGGTTTCTTGGTTGGATGGGTGGGTGGGAGGTGTCTGGTGCGATGTGGGTTTCTCTGTGAGGCGGATATGTGGGTTTCTTGGTTGGATGGGTGGGTGGGAGGTGTCTGGTGCGATGTGGGTTTCTTTGTGAGGCGGATATGTGGGTTTTGGTTGGATGGGTGGGGTGGATAGGGTGGGAGGTGTCTGGTGCGAGGTGGGTTTCTCTGTGAGGCGGATATGTGGGTTTTCTTGGTTGGATGGGTGGGTGGGAGGCGTCTGGTGCGATGTGGGTTTCTTTGTGAGGCGGATATGTGGGTTTCTTGGTTGGATGGGTGGGGTGGATAGGGTGGAGGCGTCTGGTGCGATGTGGGTTTCTTTGTGAGGCGGATATGTGGGTTTCTTGGTTGGATGGGTGGGGTGGATAGGGTGGGAGGTGTCTGGTGCGAGGTGGGTTTCTCTGTGAGGCGGATATGTGGGTTTCTTGGTTGGATGGTGGGTGGGGGCGTCTGGTGCGATGTGGGTTTCTTTGTGAGGCGGATATGTGGGTTTCTTGTTGGATGGGTGGGGTGGATAGGGTGGAGGCGTCTGGTGCGATGTGGGTTTCTTTGTGAGGCGGATATGTGGGTTTCTTGGTTGGATGGGTGGGGTGGATAGGGTGGGAGGTGTCTGGTGCGATGTGGGTTTCTCTGTGAGGCGGATATGTGGGTTTCTTGGTTGGATGGGCGGGGTGGATAGGGTGGGAGGTGTCTGGTGCTGTGGGTTTCTTTGTGAGGCGGATATGTGGGTTTCTTGGTTGGATGGGTGGGGTGGATAGGGTGGGAGGCGTCTGGTGCGATGTGGGTTTTCTGTGAGGCGGATATGTGGGGTTTCTTGGTTGGATGGGCGGGGTGGGAGGCGTCTGGTGCGATGTGGGTTTCTTTGTGAGGCGATATGTGGGTTTCTTGGTTGGATGGGGGGTGGATAGGGTGGGAGGCGTCTGGTGCGAGGTGGGTTTCTTTGTGAGGCGGATATGTGGGTTTCTTGGTTGGATGGGCGGGGTGGATAGGGTGGGAGGCGTCTGGTGCGATGTGGGTTTTGTGAGGCGGATATGTGGGTTTCTTGTTGGATGGGTGGGTGGATAGGTGGGAGGCTGCGAGGTGGTTTCCTTGTGAGGCGGATGTGTGGGTTTTTGGTTGGATGGGCGGGTGGGAGGCGTCTGGTGCGATGTGGTTTCTCTGTGAGGCGGATATGTGGGTTTTCTTGGTTGGATGGGCGGGTGGGAGGCGTCTGTGGCGATGTGGGTTTCTTTGTGAGGCGGATATGTGGGTTTCTTGGTTGGATGGGTGGGGGTGGATGGGTGGGAGGTGTCTGGTGCGATGTGGGTTTCTTGTGAGGCGGATATGTGGGTTTCTTTGGTTGGATGGGGGTGGGAGGCGTCTGGTGCGATGTGGGTTTCTGTGTGAGGCGGATATGTGGGTTTCTTGGTTGGATGGGTGGGTGGATAGGGTGGAGGTGTCTGGTGCGATGTGGGTTTCTCTGTGAGGCGGATATGTGGGTTTCTTGGTTGGATGGGCGGGGTGGATAGGGTGGAGGCGTCTGCTGCGAGTGGGTTTCTGTGTGAGGCGGATATGTGGGTTTCTTGGTTGGATGGGCGGGTGGGAGGCGTCTGGTGCTATGTGGTTTCCTTGTGAGGCGGATATGTGGGTTTCTTGGTTGGATGGGTGGGGTGGAGGTGTCTGGTGCGATGTGGGTTGCTTTGTGAGGCGGATATGTGGTTTCTTGGTTGGATGGGGGTGGAGGTGTCTGGTGCGATGTGGGTTCTGGTGAGGCGGATATGTGGTTTCTTGGTTGGATGGTGGATAGGGTGGGAGGCGTCTGGTGCGATGTGGGTTGCTTGTGAGGCGGATATGTGGGTTTCTTGGTTGGATGGGGGGGGGATAGGGGGAGGCGTCTGGTGCGATGTGGGTTGCTTTGTGAGGCGGATATGTGGGTTTCTTGGTTGGATGGGTGGGGTGGATAGGTGGGAGGCGTCTGGTGCGATGTGGGTTTCTTTGTGAGGCGGATATGTGGGTTTCTTGGTTGGATGGGTGGGGTGGATAGGGTGGGAGGTGTCTGGTGCGATGTGGGTTTCTCTGTGAGGCGGATATGTGGGTTTCTTGGTGGATGGTTGGGTGGTTAGGGTGGGAGGTGTCTGGTGCGATGTGTGGTTTCTTGTGAGGCGGATATGTGGGTTTCTTGGTTGGATGGGTGGGTGGATAGGGTGGGAGGTGTCTGTGCGATGTGGTTTGCTTTGTGAGGCGGATATGTGGCTTCTTGGTTGGATGGGTGGGTGGGAGTGTCTGGTGCGATTGGTTGCTTTGTGAGCGGATATGTGGGTTCTTGGTTGGATGGCTGGTGCGATGTGGGTTGCTTTGTGAGGCGGATATGTGGGTTTCTTGGTGGATGGGTGGGTGGGAGGTGTCTGGTGCGATGTGGGTTCTTTGTGAGGCGGATATGTGGGTTTCTTGGTTGGATGGGTGGGTGGGAGGGTCTGGTTGCGATGTGGGTTTCTCTGTGAGGGATATGTGGGTTTCTTGGTTGGATGGGTGGGTGGGAGGTGTCTGGTGCGATGTGGGTTTCTTTGTGAGGCGGATATGTGGGTTTCTTGGTTGGATGGGCGGGGTGGGATGGGAAGTGTCTGGTGGGATGTGGGTTTCTGTGTGAGGCGGATATGTGGGTTTCTTTATGCCTTGGGTGGTATGTGAGGTTTCAGGTGCGGGTATGTGGGGGTCTTTTATGAGATATTTGGTACGTGAGACTTTCTTTTAAATAAGGAAATATTGGTCTCTGTGTCAGATATGTGATATATGGGGTTTCAGATATAGAAATGTGGATTCTTTTAGGGTTATGAGTTTCTTGTTATGAAGTGTGTGATTTTGTGAAATTTCAAATGGAAAAATGGGCTTATGTTATGGTCTTGCTATGCGATATATGGTATGCGAGATTTCAAATACAGATATATGGATCATTTGTATGTGGTGTGGTCTTTTAATGCATGTGATATGTGAGGTTTCTTGTAGAGAAATATGGGTTCCTTTATGGCGTATGGTGTGGTCTTGTTATGAGATGTTTGATATGTGAAATTTATTATAATGATACTTTATGGCATATGGTATGGTCTGGTATAGATGGAGAAATTGAAGGCATTGGTGACTATGAATTATCATTCCTTTCTAGAGTTGTTAATAGTTTATGGCATATGGTATGGTCTGGTATAGAAGGAGAAATTGAAGGCACTGGTGGCTGTGTGAATTATCATTCATTTCTAGAATTGTTAACTTCTTCGTCTTTTTTGGTCCAGGGTCCTGAGTTCCAGTGAAGGCAGGGTGACATGTCTGGCCACGAACGCAGTAGGGTCACTCATCACTAACTACACCCTGGATGTGCTTAGTCCTCCCGTGATCACGCCCACGCCGCCCACGAAGAAAGTGCGGGCGCGAGAGGGCGATTCGGTGACTCTTACCTGTAGGATCCGAGGCCACCCACGCCCCCTGGTAAGAGGTCGTGCTTCTTGGTTGGGAATGTGTCGTCTGTGAGGAGATACGTATGATTTTATAATGTTTATTCTCTTATATGATGCTTTTAATCGTATATACATTTGCGTTTAATATACACGCATTGTTCAAGGTGGAAGAATATAGTATCGTATTTTATATAGATATCTGAATACCCTCCCTGACAAGGCCTCAAACCCACTATGGCCAGGGAGCACATAGCAGAGAAATCAGAACTAAACCCCTAGATCACATGATCCACTTAAAAGGTGGATGGTAGTCTTTTGGTTTAGTTCTGCTTCCTGTAAGGGTTGTGGGTATGTGCATATATGATTTACGAATATGCAAGGTACTGTGAAGTAGTACAACACAGATGAATCCATCAATACGTTCACACTGAGTTTGTGGATATCAACAAAGCATATTCAGTGCATAAATACATCCCTGCTCCTCCCCTTGCAGGTAGCGTGGGTGGGCGGCCAGGGGATGGTCCTGACGGAGGAAGAGATGGCAAGGAGAGGCTTCGACCTGCAGGAGGATGGAGAGTCCCTCGTGCTGAAGAAGGTGGACGGGACTCACGAAGGGCGTTACACCTGCATCGCCTCCAACACGGCTGGGTCTGCCAAGGAAACCTTCAGCGTGCAGGTCTTGTGTGAGTTCGAGTTAGGAAGTGCGTCGTGTGATGGATTTGTGGTACAGCTGGCGTGGTCAAATGGGACATCACAGTTTGGTTTTCTCATTTAGTTATGTATTCATTGATCTTCTTACTTCGTTTACTTATTCTATATTTGTTTACTTAGAGAAAGTCTGACCAGTAGATGAGACGACGTGTACATTTTTGCTTCACTTTTTACACCAACGAAACATCACACAGATCAGGCAGCATAAAATTCCAGTAAACTTCCAGTATTTAAAATCACCCAGAACACACAGCCAATCTAAACAACCAAAGAAAAGCTAAACTGACGCCACACTCCCTCTTCCAGTGACCCCTGTGATTCAAGCCCCGGAGCAAGGGACAGCGTTAGGTGTCGTGCAAGGTTCCTCCGTCACACTCTCCTGTATCGTGGACGCCAGACCCCCTGCCACGCTCTCATGGCAAAAGGTAAAGGACCGTGAGATAATTGCCTGGCTTAAAAAAGGTTTTAGATCATGTTCATTGTGTTTAACTTGATGTTGGTGGTTTATGTTTAATAACAAGTGATGTTTTATAATGGAGGTACTTTGTGAATTCATTTTGGTTAAGTGTTCCTAGGTTGTTTTGTTGATTTGGGTAAAAATATTCAAATTCAGTTCACTAGTTTTGTTGAATATGCTGTTATTGAAAGCAAATGGCTTTTTGTTACGCTATTTTTATTACTTCAATTTCAAAACGGTCTTAGTAATCTAACACTTCTTAAAATTATTTAAACCGCCACCGACGTAAAGTAAAATCACTGCCATCAACCACACAAGACAAACCCATTAACCATCACCATAAATCGTCACCATCTCCATTAACACAGGTCCATTAAGCATCACCATACCTCATTTACACAAATGCATATACCATCACAACTCCCATTAACTTATGAATCATCACCTAACACGTCCATTACCACACCCCCATTTACCATAATCCCTACTAATAAAAAACATTAACCATCACCACCCATTAACACTCATTAACCATCATAAACCCCATTATCACAAACCCATTAATACACACCCATTAACCATCACCTACCTTTTTAACACAAACCCATTAACACACTCACAACCCACGAACCATCACTACCCCATTAACAAACCCAGTAACCATCACCTCCCCTCAAACACACACCCATCAACCACCACCACCCCCATTAACACACCCATGCCCTTGACCTTTCGCCCTGCAGAACGGACAGGCCCTTGACAGCAGCCGAGACCCCTTCCTCCACGTGACAGCAGGTGGCGAGTCCCTGAGCTTCCTGAGGGTGCAGCCACAACACGCCGCTAACTACACCTGCGTCGCCTCTAGTGCTGCGGGACAGGACTCTCTCACTTATGACCTCAATGTGAATGGTTAGTTTGGTTTGTAGTGTTGGTGATGTTGAGGAATGGTAATGGAGGTTTTGTTGATGTTGACATTGATGTTATAACTGATAATGTTGATAATGGCAGTGTTTATGATTGGTGATGTGTTTATTGTCCCCCCAGTAATGTTGTTGATCACAATAATGATAACTGATGATATTTATAATCTGTATTAATGATTAAGGAAGGATCCTTTGATTACTAAATAACATTTACTTTGCTGACAATGATGATAAAAAATATTAATAACGATGTTGTTAGTGTTATTGTTGCATAGTCATTGCTATTGCTTTCATCATTAGCATATTTTGTCTTATTTTTAACCCTTTCCTTCCAGTCCCGCCCGTGATTATTGAGGACATGGTAGAGAACGTGCTTGGGGGCGGCGTGGGCGGAGACACCATGGGCATCGTGGGCGGGGAGGTGGACCTGGAATGCTACACCATAGGCACGCCCACGCCCACACTCACCTGGGAGAAGGATGATGGAGTAAGAGAGGATTTATTTGGATCTGTTTGGAATTGTATATATTTTTTTTATATGGAGGAGATCAGCCTGTTCTTTGGAGAGAACAGAGTGATTTCCTTATGTATTTTTTATCTTTTTGATAGTTTAAGCTGCTTGTCTGTCCCCGTCTTTCCTCTCTCCTTTCTTCCTTCTCTCTCTTAATCTCCAATCTGACTGTTTTCATTGATTTATTTAGGCTATTGATTAATTTATTCAGGTATTTATTTATTAGATAAACAAATAAATACATTAATAGCCTAAATAGATAGATGAATACCCTAAATAGATAAATAGATTGCCTACATAAATAAATGAATAACCCAAGTAAAGGTGCTGCCACACTAGCACTTTTTCCGTCAGTTTTTTTAAAAATTTATTTAACATAAATACAAATATTCTCGAATATAGAATCTTGATTTGACTTTGGGCTGAAAAAGTTGACGGAAAAGGTTTCAGACGGAAACGATCATTATCGTCTGACTGGAAAAATCGCAGTTCGCTCAAAAATGGAAAAAAATTCAGAAAATTGTCAAAAAGTGACAGAAAAAGTGCCAGTGTGTCAGCACCATAAATGAAGGAATTACCATTGAATGAATTACCATTGCCATTTCTCGGTGTCTTAGGGAATCGAGCTGAGTGACCGCATAACGCTACTCGAGGACGGCCAAGTGCTGAGGCTTAAGTCGGCGGTGACTGAGGACTCCGGACGGTACACCTGCACGGCCACGTCGCCTTCGGGATCAGCCTCGAGGGACTTCGTCGTTGTTATACATAGTGAGTTTGGATGACGGAGGGGGGGGGGGGTGGGGGGTGGTGGATTTTTTTGGGGGGGCGGGAGGGGGAGGGGTTGTTTTGTGGGTCGTTATTTTTATTTTGTTCTTTGTGTTTGATGTGTAGTATGTTGTATTATTGTTATTCCTCCTCATCCTCATCCTCATTCGTCGTCGTCGTCGTCATCGTCATCGCCATCGTCATCGTCATCGTCATCATCAATCGTCACCGTCATCATCATCATCGTCATCGTCATCATCGTCATCGTCATCGTCATCGTCATCAATCATCATCGTTCGTCGTCATCCATCGTCATCATCATCATCGTCATCGTCATCATCATCTCATCATCATCATATCATCATCATCATCATCATCATCATCGTCATCATCATCGTCATCATCATCAATCATCCATCATCATCATCGTCAATCATCATCATCATCATCATCATCAATCATCATCATCATCATCATCATCATCATCATCAATCATCATCATCATCATCATCATCATCATCATTCATCATCATCACATCATCATCCTCTGCCACCATCATCCACTTCCATAAACCCTATTATCCCCCCACCCCTCATCCCTAATCCCTCCTCCTCCTCCTCCCCCCAGGTCCCCCCCGCATCATCCCCCCGCGAGAGACGAACCTCGAGGTCGTCCTTCACCAACCTCTCGCCCTGACGTGTGAGGCGGAGAGCTCGCTTACTCCCGCCGTGTCCTGGTCTCGTCACGGTCGACCAGTCACGCCCTACGCGGATCCGAATCTCCAGGTGGGTATGTGGGTGTGTGGGTATGTGTCGGAGGTGGGTCGGGTATGAGCTTTTATCCACATTTGGGTTGGCATTTTAGAGCATGATACATTATATGACACGAATCCTAAAATACCCAACGATAAGACTCCTACAAACTTATCCAATGATATATTCAATCACTTGTCTAATCACATATTTAGTAACTTATCCAATTATTTATCCAATGAGATATCCAAGCACTTATCCAACTGTTTATCCAATCACTTAAACAATCATTTATCAAGTAACTTACTCAATCACTTACCTAGTACCTTATCCAATAATTTATCACACATTCAACTACTTAAACAATCATTTATCTAACAACATACCCACTACTTATCCAATAACATATCCAATCACTTAAACAATTACTTATATAGTAACTTAATCAATTAGCTAATAACTTATTAAATCACACATCTAATCACACACTCAATAACTAAATCAAAACTACCTGAATAACAACAATCCCCTAATTACCCTGTCACCTTCTTTCCAGGTGAGGGCCGGTGGTCGCGAGCTACACCTGCGTCGTGTCCGCGAAGGTGACGGTGGGGCGTTCACCTGCATCGTGATGAACAGTGCGGGGCAGGATACACTCACCTACACACTCACTGTACAGGGTATGGTGTTGTTGTAGTTTGTGTGGTCGTTGTGTGTGGTCGTTGTGTGCTTGGGTGTGGGTGCTTTGTTGAAAGGCGTAAGGGAAGGTGTGGTAGTGGGTGGTATATAGGGGATAGATGTAAAAGAAAATATAGGATGGAATGAAATAAGTGGATGAGATTGAATAAAATGGAGTATGTGAAATGAAACTGAATATAAAAGGCATAAGATATTGTATTTTTTGTGTCACAGGAAAGTTACAGTAGATATTGCACGAATATCCAGTACTTATTGCTGGATATATATCCTTCGCATCGCTAAAATCATCCAGGATGTATCTCTTTTTATCAGAATGACAAGATACACACGCCTCCTTATCTTGCAGTCCCGCCCGTGATCCAGCGCGCCAACGTGAGACGCCAGGTGGTGGGCGTGGCGGGCCAGTCGACGGACCTGCTTTGCGAGGCGTCGGGCAACCCCCCGCCCACGCTGGCCTGGACGCGAGGCAACACACTCATCACCCCGGAACACCCTCATTACCAGGTCGATTAGCCATTACCAGGGCGCTCGTGATTTCTATGGCTGTATAATGCATGCGATAATCCCGGTCTGGGTTGCGTGGGTGGGTGGGTGGTGGGGGTAGAGGGGGGGGGCATTTTAGGGATTGGGGTCTTGGCTACGCGTTTTTGTTTGTTTGTTTGTTTTTTCCTGAAGAATGAGGATGGTATAGGGAAGATAATATGGTTTATGGTTTGTAGTATAGAGAACGCGTTTCGGAGAAGTTAAAGTGGTTATATACTGTACCTTTCCCATTGAAATGATCAAATCATGCTGAAATTTTGAATCACAGATATATAGAATTATAATCATATAATGCCCCCATATATATTACGAATATTTTAAAGAATGATATAATCTAATATCCATAAACTACCACAAACTAAACTAATTCTAACTATCAAACTCTCCCAAAGCCACCATTCCTTCTAAGATATACTCGAAATCCCCCAAACCACCAAGAGTCCAAAAATGTAATCAGAGCCGCCCACACACGCCCACAGGTCATGAACGGGGGCGCCAAACTTCAGGTCCGGGAGCTGACACGGGAGGACACGGGCGTGATAACGTGTACCGCTACGAATCCGGCTGGGAAGGACACCCTAAGTTACACGCTTCAGGTTTATGGTACGTAAGGGAGAGGAGGAGGTGGTTTTATTGTTTTGACATATTTTGTTATTTGGGGATTTTTTTCTATTTCTTTTTGTCACTTTCTCTATATTTTTAGGTTTTTGATGAAGAGGAGTTTGGTAAGGTGTTGTGTGGGAGGATGGAGTGTTTTTTTTGTGTGTGGGGGGGTGATGATGAAAAGTTGTCTTTTTATCTAAATCCGATTCTCTCTTTCCTTCTTTCTCTTTCTCTCTTTCTATCTATCTGTCTGTCTGTTTGTGTATCTATCTACCTATCTGTCTGTCTGTTTGTGTATCAATCTGTCTGTCTATCTATCTATGAAATTATTACATTTTAAAACATATTGCAGTTCCCCCGAGTGTCGACGAAGACGCAGCCAAGGAGATGACAGTCAAGGAGGGAAACAGCGTTGTCCTAGAGTGTCCTGTCACAGCCTTCCCTGGTAAGTGTTCATGTTTATGTTATTCTTTCAATGTTGCCGATTTTCTTTTCATTCTGAGAAGGTGGGATGGATTTGGCACGTTGGCTTTTGTTTACTTTGTGTTACGACGTTCTTAGGGGTAGTGGGTGATAGGTCTAAATCACTGATAAGACTAAACCGAAGCTTTTCAGAAAATCATGTATCAACATGGTCTTCGAAGAAGTGGTTTATATATATGCGTGTGTGTGTGTGTGTGTGTGTGTGTGTGTGTGTGTGTGTGTGTGTGTGTGTGTGTGTGTGTGTGTGTGTGTGTATTTATGTATTCATATGTGAATTTATATTTATGTATATAGTTAGTAGGTATATATCGTTTTCATATACCTACAAGGCATAAAATGTACTGAAAAGCGAAACATATTCATTCTCTGATCTTATGCATCGTCTATCATTTTAACAACGTTGTTTTTTTTCTATTGCATGAAAAAGGATATTGCTTAGTCATTTAAAGTAGACATGTAATATATAAGGAACTAGAAAGAGAAAATCGGCCGCCACAAAGCACGTTTATTAAACATTGATTGCGAGAGAGACAGGATCCATACCAACATTACGTAATCTGGTCAAACACCAATTCGTGTGTTGTGCACCTATTACTGCATGGAGTACCCTCATGTCTACAGTGGAAATACCAGTGATTATTGATTTAGGTGTTGTCGACTTGACACCTGATACACAGATAGATAAATGTCGTTGTGTTTAGGAAGTAAATACACACGCACTTAGGTACAGGGATGTAAGAAAATGGTCTTTTAAGTGTCTACATATCTACCCCTTTTTATGCTTACTTGTAGTTTCACAACTTATTTCATATGGCCAAAAAAAAAAAAAACATATCAAAGGTATAACAGAGATCTGAACATTAAATTTAGTTCATATAATTTATTCAGTACATAAATTTCTTTTGTGATTGCAGTTCTACCCAATATCTACGGGTGTTACTTTTTAGACACACAAGGTTTCAAATCTACTTGTGCTCGACATCATAAAGAAAATTGGTTCATTTGTTTCGTTGCTGAAAATTAAATTTCCTTGCGTAGAAAAATGTGAACACTACATACGTACTACATATGATTGTAATGTATTTGTTCTATATTTCCACATAAGGGTGTCTATATTTTCATACTGTTTTATAATGAAAGAGATATAAACATTCTGCCGTTTTGATACTATTTTAGACGTTTATAATGAAATAGTTATAAATAAACACTCTACCGTTTTGATACTATGACAGAAAAAGCCACAATGCACAATAAATCCCGTGTGTGCATTGTGGATTTTTCTACCATGTTTATGTTCATCGTGGAATGCAGTTTATTCGTGTGTGGACAATTATTATGTTGAAACGATTGTTTTCCCCTCAATTCATTTTTGCTTGGTGAAGGAGCGTCCATCTTCGAGCTAAGAACAATGTTTGGAGAAGTCAGCTGTTGAAAGAAAGGAATGTTAGCATGTGAGAGGACAATATATATGGCATATAATAGGAAGGCATACATTTATGTACGGATTTTCGTATACACACAGACATATATACACGCGCGCGCGCGAATAAGCACACACACACAAACATACACACACATATAAGCACACTCATACGGACCTACGCACGCGCGCACACACACACACACACACACACACACACCACACACACACACACACACACACACACACACACACACACACACACACACACACACACACACACACACACACCACACACACACACACACACACACACCACACACACACACACACCCACACACCCACACCCACACACCCCACCTCCCCAACCCACAAACTCACCCCACAATATCTGCCGAAAAGCGAACTTCTGAGGGTGTGTCACGGTCGGGATGGGCCGTGGCTGTGGGCGGCCTTCCGAACGCGAACTTCTCACACCCGAGCAGCACCATGGGAGACCGCGATGCCTCCTCCCAGACGATGAACACGGTGAACACCTGAGGGGGGGGAAGAGGAGGAAGATCAGGAGGGTAAGTTCATGTGGTGGAGGGAGGGAGGGGAGGGAAGGAGAGGGAGAGGGAGAGGGAGAGAGGAAGAGGGAAAAGGGGAAAGGGGAGGGGAAGAGATGGGAAGGAAGGGAGAGAGAGAAGGGAGGGAGGGGAATGTAGGGAGGAGAGGGAAGGGTAAGAGGGGGAGAGGGAGGGGGGAAAAGGGAATGTAGGGAGAGGGAGAGAAGAGAGGAGAGAGAGAAGGGTATGAGGGAGAGATGGGGAAAGTTAAAATGGGGAAAAGAAAATGGGAAAATAGACTACACCATCACGATGTGGAAATGTAAAATAATTTGACAATTTTCACACACGAACACACACTTATTATTATCAATCATTCTATCATCCGTTGCTCTCTCTCTCACTCTTTCCCTTCGTCCCTCCCTCCGTCCCTCCTTCCTTCTTCTTTCTCTCTCCTCCTCTCTGTCTCCCAACCTCCCTCCTTCCCTCTCATCCTCCTCCTTTCCTCTCTCCTCATTTCCTCTCTCTCTCCCTCCTTTCTCCATCACTCTATCCCTTCCTCTCTCTCTCTCTCTCTCTCACTCACCCTCACTCACTCACTCACTCACTCACTCACTACCTCTCACTCACTACTCACACTCACTCACTCTCACTCTCTCTCTCTCTCTCTCTCTCTCTCTCTCTCTCTCTCTCTCTCTCTCTCTCTCTCTCTCTCTCTCTCTCTCTCTCTCTCTCTCTCTCTCTCCTCCCTCCCTCCTCCCTCCTCCCCCTCCCTCTCCTCCTCTCCCCCCTCCCTCTCTCTCTAATCTCTCTCACTCTCTCCCCCTCCCTCTTTCTCTCTGTTTGTCTCTGTCTCCCCCCTCCCTACCCCTCCCCCTCAATCCTTACCTCTTTGAAACCCGGGTCGGGTAGCTTGCCTCGGGTTCTCGGGCGATGTGGGCCACCACTTCCTCTTGAGTCGGTCCAAGTGGCCCTTCTGGGTCATCTTGCTCAGTCTGGCCAAGGGGGGGACACAGGCGAAGGGGGGTGATTAGCTTTCGTCGGCGTGGCTCGCGTGGTGCGTTGGTTAGGTATCTCGTGAACTTTTTTATTTTATTATTTTTTTTCTTTAATTTTCTCTCTAATGATAATGGTGATGGTGGTGATGATGATAAAAAAGTGGGGATGATTGTAATCGTGATAATTTCAATAGCGATTATAGTGGTAGTGATAACGATAGTAATGATAATACTAATGGGAATACTAATGATAATGTTAGTGTGATGTGTTTATGTAAAATTGGAGATGCGCATATAGAAAAATGACAAGGATTAGATAAAAAAAAACAACAACAGAAAAGCAGCACACCAAACCAATCACACACACACACTCATACTCACACTCTCTCACTCACTCAACAACAACAAAAGCAACAAAAACAGCATCAAAACCCACACATGATTCATGAGGTTCTTGAAGGGCGATCCCTTCTGCAAGCCGAAGCCGATGCCACGCTTGAGGAAGTCCGTTTTCGTGTCGACGATGTCCATGGCTTGCTTCAAGGGCAAGACGCGCTGCAGGCGGTAGATGATGTATTCTTTGTTGGCGAAAAAGGCGTATTTCCCTTGAGGATGTGGAGGAAATTGGTCTTAAGGCGAGTTGGTGAATTTGGTTGGGCGTTCGGTTGTGTATTTGTTTTCGTTTTCGTTATTTTGTTATTATTAGTGTTGTTACTGATATTATTATTAGTTGTCATTATTTTAATTATATGCTTTTTATTACTATCGTTATATTCTCTTATTTTCATTTTTTTTATTATCATCGTTATACTAATTATTCTATTAAATTTTCCTTTTTTTTATTATCGTCGTTATACTAATTATTCTATTATTTTTTGAAATCGGTATAAAATTTCAATTGTAGATTTATTTATTTTTCAATATTTTTCACTGCGTCAATATTTTATCTAGACTTTTCATGCGTTTACTTTTGTTTTCTTATTTTTTTGGGAAGAGGAATCACTGTGAAAAAAGTATCCCGTGCTTTATTAAGTGTATCTTGACTGAGGACCCTACCCATCTCCTCTTAAAAAGATACAGAAAAAGCAGTGACATTTATGCCTAAACCCTACCCAGTCACCCCAACCCTTAAATAAATAATAAATAAATAAAAATAGAGAAATAGAATAGATAAATAAATAAAAATAAAGAAATGAAATAGATAAATAAATAAATAAATAAGAAATAAAACATGAAACAAAACTAGGAAAGACTTACCCTTTAAAACGCTATTGAGGGCATCGTCGTTGTTGTTGGGAAGGTTGTTGACGGGGTCCTTTCCCACGAACGTGTCCCAGGCAAGTCTCATGGGCGAACCGGGGGCGCCAGCTGAGGAAAGAGGGGGGGAGGGGGGGTAATGAGAAGGGGGGGGGTGAGAGTTATGTGAAGAGGGGTGGTGGTTTGTGGTGTTGTGGGTGTGATGTTTGTTCTTTTATCTTTTAGGCTGTTTGTCTGTCTCTGTCTCTGTCCTCTCTGTCTCTGTCTCTGTCTGTCTCTATCTCTATCTCTATCTCTATCTCTATCTCTATCTCTATCTCTATCTCTATCTCTATCTCTCTCTATCTCTCTCCTCTATCTCTATCTCTATCTCTCTCTCTCTCGCTATAGTATGTATGTATATATATATATATATATATATATATATATATATATATAATACATACATACATACATATACACATATACATACACACACACACACACACACCACACCACACACACACACACACAACACACACACACACACACACACAACACACAAACACATACACACACACACACACACACACACACAGACTATAAGTGTATGTATAAAATGTCTTAATCTGTCTATCTGTGTCTATTACTATGATTGTGTTTATTCATTCATCCAATCGCTGTCGTCGATCGAGCATACCGAATCACCCATCTATCCATCCCCACCACCCACCCAATCTTCCCTACCCACCTACCCATC